TAAAATTCTTTTCTCCTGTTTTTGTTATTGTTGTTGTTTTGTCTTGTTTGCCTTATTTTATATTATGAATAGAATCTAAACTTGCAATTTTTCTGCTTCTCTGTTGCTTAATAATTTTTAACTGTACTTCACCTCTCTTCTTTGTTATTTTCCTATAAGTAGCCAGGAGCAACCACACTTCTTGCATAGTAATCCGTGGTCCTTAAGGTACAGAAGTTGTCTTGTACATACATCAGTTGGGACCTGGCTCCACAACTCTGTATTCTGATTGGTTGTGGTTATCTGTAATGGTCTCCATCTCTTGCAGAGAAAAATGTCCTTAATGAGGAATGAGGGAATTATACTTAGCTGTAGGTATGAGAATAAGTATTTATGGATTATGCTGGCAGTGGGGTGTGTATGGGTGGGCTTAGAGGGTGAAAGGGAGGGGGAAATTATGTAACTTGGAAGAATTTAAAAATAGAGAATTAAAACAAATAAAAATAAAATCTGCACCAGCAAACAGACAAAACAAAAACAAAAATCCCTGGCAGTTTGTTGTACTATCTCCCAAATCTTTCTATTTTCATAGGGTAAAGCATCTTCAGATATTTACATGTAGATATATTTAGAAATTTCAAAACACAACTAATGCTTTAGCTTCCTGTTGAGATAATTACATATATATGTGTGTGTTTATAAATATACATGTATATATTAATTATATATATGTTATATATAATATATGATATATTATATATACAAATAAATAACTTTCTAAATGATAACACTTCAGTGTATTTTACTTTTGTAATTAAATCCATTTTGTAAATGCGTCACCTTACAAATATTTCCAGGCATATCAATTTTTGTTTTCTATCCCATGGATCAGATAATTGATTCATTAAAAATGGGATATATTTATTACATAGTTTAATATCATCCACTCTGTAACTTTTGATCGATACTAATTCACAACATTAAATCTGTGGAGGAGCAATAGATCAGTTTTGACACATTTTAGGAAGGAATCACTAAAATATGGGACAGGCTTAAGTTGCAAAACACAGTTAATCAGAAGAAAAGGAAATGGCAACATTTTGTTACAAGTATCATCATAGGTAGACTACAGAGATGCACTAGTGAAACTGTGCCTGACAAGTCCTCTGAGCTTAGCTGTCCTCCGGCTGGCTCTGACCTTAAACACTAACTTGCGTGTCATCTTTGTCTCCTCTCCTGAAAGGCAAAGTCAACTGCTCTTGCCCTTCCATTCTGTATTGCCCTCATGCAATCCTGCAGCAATGCTGCAATTCTTTGTGTTCAATTAGGGAGATGGAGTCACTGTGTAGCCCAGGTTAACCTCAAGCTCATCATCCTCCTGCCTCTACTTCCTGAGCTCTGGGTTGGGATCCAGGTTTGTGCCAAATACCCACCATTTCATTCTGTCCTTGCAACACCATCTCAAGGTGCATTTCCTCCCATCTCACACTGTACCTTCCACACACTCATTCGTGGTATATTCTTCCTCTTGATTGGCAGCACATTTTAAGGTTCTTTGATATATGCCATCATGTTGTCTAGCCACAAGCCACACAACAGAGAACTCTCCCTGGATTATCTCCACTAGTTTTTCCAGCAACCTTTGGCAGTGGTTCTTTGTGCTGATGAACTAGCTTCATCTTGTACATGAAGGAACTGAAGGTCAGAGAATGAATTAGCTGGTTCAGCATCCAAATCCTTCTGACCTCAGAGCTCTAGCACAGGATTACATTATAATACCTTTTAATTGACTACTGGGAAAAACAAACACTTCCCCTTCCTCCAATTTAGTTCATCCATCATCCATTACTTAAACATCTGGAAAAGGGCAGTCATATGATAAATGTGTACACACACATTAACTGTCCTGTGATTAATCTAATGTGGAAGTTCTGTCCCTGTGCATATAGTATCCACTCTGGCTTTAAATTGCTTACAGTTTCCCTAGAACACAGGAAAGCCCAATAAAGAAGTTACTATTTATCATGGCTGCCCTCTAGTGGACAGATGTAACATCATCGCTAGCTTGCTTTTTATAAAAAAACAAACAGAAACAACAACAAAACACACACACACACACACACACACACACACGTTTGATTTTTTTAATTTTTGGAGTAGGGTAGAAAGTAACAAGTTTCCAAATGAGATTTTCATATGTATTTTATTCTGGCTTTTAATTTTTTTTTCTTTTTCCTTTTTACTATTCAAACTACAGCCATATGCCTCATGGCCTTGTTAGGGACAGAATGACATGGTTTCTGTCCCTGGGACAGGGTAAATAGGCATGGGCCTCTAAAAGTGTTGATGGCTGCTGTGGACTTAAGGCTTGTTTGTATAATAATATACGTATTTTATGTTCCTCTTTCAAGGAATATCCTTTAAGCAATGTTAACGTTAATGACTCCATGATAATAAGAGACAACATGAGTCTGGGAGGCGAAGGTAGCTATCGTCTTAGCAAAATGGTAAACACTGGTTGGGACCCTCAGGACAGCCCTTAAGACTGTGGAAAATAACTCTAAAAGCATGAATTAAAAAATATCTAATTTCTCAAAAAATAAGGATGCAATATAAATTCTATGAGAGGCTTCATGAACCTAAAGGAACAAAAGCAGCTATGCTGGGAGCCAACTTGTCAAAAAGATACTAAGCAAGGAGATTAAGAGATTTAGGGAGTGGAGATCATAAGAGATCCCACCCAGATAAGTTTTTTGTTAAAGCTTACAAAGATGGACAGATTCCTGAGTTCACGGTTGTCCTGGGATGGAACAAGGTTATACCCAGGTGTGGTAGAAATGGTAATTTCAGGATGGGGTCCCACCAACTAGTTTATCATCTGTGCTGAGCAGAGGCAGGTAGATCTCTAAGTCTGTTTGCCATGTTAAAAGGAAATGCATGCTTGCTGTCTTCTAAGAATTAAGGGACTAGTGTCACAAGATGATTATTCATAGGATAATCAAAAGGAAACCTGGAGTTAGTGACTGAACTGATATGTAAAACAAAAGACTGGGCTTATGATTTGCAAGAGATGAGCTACCCATTTTTTTTTAAATAGCAAAAACTAAAAAAAGAAAACAAAGAGCTATCTGGAGATCTCCAGAGAGTGCAAAACTTAAAAACAGCAATCTAGAAAGCTGCCTGGAACAAAACAGGTCCTCAGCTTAGACCCATGATTTGACTTCAAGTTGTCCTTTGTTTTCGATGATCCCCAGACACCTCTTTTCTCAGAACCCCTCTCTAAGCCAAGATTGGCGGCCCTAGGCAGCACTATATGACCCTTATTTTTCTAGAAAAGTGTTGTTGGTATTTAAAATTCTCCACTACATTCTTTATTGGATCAGAGTATTAGACACTGGAGTTGATGTTTTCTGAGCAATTTTCTATCCTTAAGTTTCTCATTATGCTTTTAGTTTTTATGTGTTTTTGTTTTGTTTATTTGTTCATTGTTTTATTTTGTGTATGTGTATGTTTTTTTAAAGCATAGCTCTCAGATATCCCAGGCTAGTTTTGAACTTGTTATATAGCTGAGGCCAGCTTTAAACTCCTAATCTTCCTACCTCCCCCTCCTGAGTACTGGAATTACAGCATGTTCCACAACACCTAGCTTTCATTGTTTTCAGATAAATTACAAGGAGACTATGGGAAAATTACAGATCTGTAATTTTGTCATTTGTAAAATTTGTTAATCTGTAATTTGTAATCAACTTATATAATAATTTAAGGTTCTATTCATTATTTACTTTCTATATAGACACACCTAAAAGTTATATACAAAACAGTTTGAAATCAGTGTGTCAGAAACTGGCTCAATACATTGAAATATTTTGTTTGGATCTGTAAAATAACAAGTTCTTAAACCTAGGATAGTTTGATGAGAAACTATAGGTCCAAGACATTTCTTTAAAATTCTGTAGTAGTCCACATGGCTTCTTGTCAATCAGCTTGAAGGGGTTCTTGATGAGGTTTTGTTGTTTCAATGTTAACCTTGTAGATACTTGCATTTTTTTCCCCTTTGACCTGTAAAAATAAAGGCTCTTTCTCTTTTTCTCCCTTAAGAGACCATATCACATCCGCTCCAGTACTTCCAGCAAGGAAATTGTGAACATGTTTGAGACAGCAATTGTAACTTACCCTTCTGCCTGGTCACAAGAGATGGTATCCCTTCTTAAAAAGGTGAGACAGAAGAAAGCAGGCTAGGAGGAAGTCCAGAAAACCTGATAACCCTTAGTCAAACTCAAATACATGGGTTTCTTAACTCAACCTAAAAAAAAAAAAAAAAATCTCTTTGGATATCTCAAGGCCTTTTCAAACGCATTGTGTCCAGATTGTAATTCTTAATTTCTTTATATTTCTTGGGCTTCTCTCACTGGTCTCTCTGCCAATGACTAGTCCCTTCACCTACCAATGCAAACCAGAGACCAGGGTTCACTTGTCATTTCTGTATCTAGTCCATTGCCAGGTCCTAGATTTACACTTTCAGTAGCCATTGCCACTGTCACTGTTAGTCATCCCCCTGACTGTCTCCCTGATCCAGCTGCCATCACATCTTTTCTGGTTTGTTGCATGCATCTGCCACACCTCTTACTACTGCTCTCCTTCCCCTGTGTCAGCATCTTCTCATTGGTCTCCAAATGAAGATCAAACTAACTTGTGTGTCATAATGGTTATAAGCTGCCCTTCGAGCCTTGTGAATTTTGGTCACCCTTTTGCTTCTTTGGCTCTGTTTAGCCTTCTCCTGCCATTCCTCCACCATACAACCACAAGGCTTTGCATATGCTACTCTCTCCTCTTGAACCACTGCTTCCTGCTTTACGTATTTCTAGCACCTTCCCAGAGGTCAGCACAACTTAATGTGATTCAATGACTGTAGTTCATACAGTACTTTGTACAATTTCACTGTAAGTGTAGAAATTGAGAAAAGCAGTTTGAAACAAATGGGGATTTGACACCGCTCTGTCAATACTACTTTGTCACATGGTCAATGGATGTGTCTCTTTGGATAGGGAATGTGTTTGTTTGGCTGCTGTTAAACTGAAGTGGTGTGTTGTACATGGTCTGGAGCTACATGTGAGCCAGGCAAGAACACATATTGGCTTGAACGGGTCATAAATGGAAGAAAAATAGAAAGAAAGAAGAATTACTGACCATTTTATGTCATTTGAACAGCACAGCTTCAGGTCTTAGCTATACAAAGCGATGTTCACTTCAAACTGTTTCTTCATGATTTGAGCTTGGTAAGTGGAAGCTTAGAAAACAGGCTCGCCCAGTTGGGATGTTCTTTTTAATTCCTGGTACAAGCCATTTGTACTCATCATACTGCAAACACAACTACTTCTAGTGTTACTGTAAACCGTACATTCTCCACCTGATTTGCACGTGGGTAAGATAAGGGATCATGGTCTTGGCAAACCACTGGCTCAATTTCTGCTACAAGGGACTCCCATCAGATACTCAGTTTAGAACACTTAGTGGGGATTGTTTTTTCTTGGTCCACCTGTCGGGCCTTCCTAGTAATACAAGTGTTTGTATTTCATTGGCAGCTGCTTGAACCTAATCCAGACCAACGCTTTTCTCACTTGACTGACATTCAGAATTTCCCTTACATGAGTGACATGAACTGGGATGCAGTCCTGCAGAAGAGGCTCATTCCAGGCTTCGTTCCAACTGTGAGTCAAGCTTCACAAGCCCTAATGGTTCCCACACTGTGTTCACAATGCTCTGTGTACACATCCACCCAGGGTCTCACTTGATGATCACACCTGCCCGTAACATAAAAACACCCTGATACTAGCTTTACAGAGGAGAAAATTGAGGCACATATGGGGTAAGTTGAACACCCATAGTCGTATGACTGGCAAGGAGCTAAGCAGGATGTCAACATCCGGGCTTCTAGGCTTTAAGCACGCATTGTTCTGTAAGTGGTTCTAGTCTTCCTAATAGTCATTTTCCGAAATATGCTCGGTCAAAAGAACTTTTTTTCTTCATGCAAAGAAGTAATCTTTCATGTCCATTGAGATCTATGAGTTGGCCAGTGGGAAAATTCCAGGACCACTCCTCTTGCTTTGTTAGTTTCATTGTACTGATCTATAGTTTTCAGAACTAATAGTAAAATTAATAATAAATAAATAAAAAAAGAACTAATAGTTACAGAGAAATAGTTTCCATTGGTTGAGTTCTTAAACATGAGATATTGTATCCCATGGCATACTGCTGGATAAACCTTAGGCTGGAGCTCCTCCCTCCTTCTCTTTCCCTGGTATTTGAATTATACAGGATATAGGAACATTGTCAAGAGTAATGTGCTCCTGCAGAGGCTGGTAGAAAGAAATCTGGGATTTCTGTTCAAATCCAAGTGAGGCACTTGTTCTGGGGTCATGGGCATATGACCGTTTCAATGAACAACTGGATAAGGTACTCAGTTAGTGTGTCAGGTGAAAGCTCGGTAGAAGGAAGAACAGTGTGGTGGTATGCAAGTCTGCCAGTGTCTACTTTAGTGAGTAACAGGAAAGTGAGGTGAGGTTTGTAATTGGATGTATGCCTGACACATGACTATGGGGGTGGGGGCTGGGTAACACCTGCTACAGACACCACCTTCCGTCTTTTAGCTGCTCATGACTCCCTATGAGAAGGTCCACCTGATAGATTTTGAGTCTTTCAGTAAATCTGACTCATTTGTAACATTTATCAAGCAGCAAATTCTTGGTCTCACATTCAGAAATCCTGATATGGAAATCTGGTTCTTGACCTTGGAAGGTGACCAAGCAACAGCCATGATTCTGGTCTACTGAGAAACACAGGATTCTAAACCTTAGAAATATTATTTTAATATAGCCTATGTCATTATTCACTGAAGGATAGTTAAACGTTTGTAATGATAACTAAACTAAATAATCAAAGAATATAAAAAATAATGCTAGCATTGAATACTATAAATTTTCAGAGGGAGCCCACGTCATTGTTCTTGGGCTAGTCTATCAGGACTATTCATTACTCTCTGTGTTAGGCTTCTATGTCTTAGAAATGATACAGGGATCTGAGGACTGAGCCCTGCTTTCCTCTTTACAGAAAGGCAGGCTCAATTGTGACCCCACTTTTGAACTCGAAGAAATGATTTTGGAGTCCAAACCTCTTCACAAGAAAAAGAAGCGCCTGGCTAAAAAGGAGAAGGAAATGAGGAAAAGTGACTCCTCTCAGGTAGGTAGACTTCCCACCAAGTTCAGGAGAATACAGTCCATTTCAAAGCTGCTGGGGGAGGATATCTCAGAAGCCTGCCCCTGTCTGATGTTGGGGGCTTATAATAATAAGGGAGGCACGGCGACAGTGGCTATTGTGTTCTTTGGCTTCACCCCTGTGATACAGCAGCAAGCAGCAACAGGTTCCCAGGATTTGAAAGATATTGTCATAATTTCCCATCTGGTCTTTTGCAAGGTGTGGTACAGGTTGCTAGAGGAGCATGTGCAGAACTCCTGTTAGAGACTCGAGGAGTAGGTTACCCTCTACTGTGTTAGCAGTGAAATTATAATTAACTTGCACTTTCTTGTGGAAGCTGAGAGTGCTCTCTCTCTCTCTCTCTCTCTCTCTCTCTCTCTCTCTCTCTCTCTCTCTCTTTCTCTCTCTCTCTCTGCATAATATATATTTTTTCCAGAGTTCCAAAAGCATTGTATCTAATTCTGATAGAGCAATGGTCCAGAGTTGCGGGCTGTCTTAGTTAGAGTTTTACTGCTGTGAACAGACACCATGACCAAGGCAACTCTTATAAGGACAGCATTTAACTGGGGCTGGCTTACAGGTTCAGAGGTTCAGTCCGTTATCATCAAGGTGAGAGCATGGCATTATCCAGGCAGGCATGACGCAGGAGGATCTGAGAGTTCTGCATCTTCATCTGAAAGCTGCTAGGATGAGGGTCTAATAGCCCACACCCACAGTGAAACACCTATTCCAACAGGGCCACACCTTCTAATAGTGCCACTCCCTGGGCCAAGAATATACAAACCATCACAGGGGCTAAGGAGGGGGATTCCTCTCCTGTCATCCTCTCAGTATCTTTGTGCATCTGGAAACAGGACTTCCTCAATTCATGTTGCTCACTGAATACTCTATGGGTTATTGGCTGTTTGTAGTCCTCATGTGCCAGCTAAGTATACTTCTGTTTCTTTATGTTCCCCCTGAAGACGTGCCTTCTTCAAGAGCATCTTGACGCTGTTCAGAAGGAATTTATAATTTTCAACAGAGAAAAGTAAGTAACTCAGGTGGAGACCATTGGCTTGAAGTGGTATCATTTAAGCAGATTTTATTTGCAGAGACTTCATATATTTTTAAGTTTGTATTTTTCTGATAATACAAAAGATCCAAATCCAGGATAAAGATTTTGAGATTTCAGGAGCCTTGTTTTTTGGGTCCATGTTTTTTAATTGATAAATTACCCTAGTGTCGTATTTTTTGTGAATTGGAATGTAAACATGCTGTATTCCTATATTTATTCATTTGTTTTTGTAACAACAATGTTTAAAGAGTAGAAGGCAGTGGATTTGGGAGGGGCTGGGTCAGACATGAGAAGAATAGAAGGGAGGAGAGGGAGGGGGAAATGATGTAGTTATATTTTAATTAAGTTTTAAAGGAATGAAAAATATTGGATTTTATGTTATTTCAAAAGTTTAAATTCAGTTTTTCTTTAATGAATGACATTCTGTCCCTCCTTCCCTCTTTCCTTCCCTCTCTCCCTCCCACTCTCCATCCTTCCCTCCATTAAGAGTAAAAAGAGACTTTAATCAAAGACAAGCAAATCTAGCCTTGGAACAAAGCAAAAACAACACAGAAGAGGAGGATGGCCAGAATAACAACCTATAAAATGGTTTCGAGTCTTCGGGGGACACTGCTTGGCACCTGGCCAGAAACTCCTGACTACCACACACAGAAGAGCTGACAGCAGTCCTTGCCACTTCCACACCTCATGACTTAGAGAATGTGATTGAATAATCTCCGAAGGTGGCAGCACTCTGCAGCTACAGGAGAGGAAGAGAGCCTTGGTTCTGAGCTCCTCAGTTCCGGCTTCAGCACTCATTAACTCTGCGACCTTAAGTGAATCATTTAACTGCTTCTTCTGTTTTAGTTCACCGCTCGAAAGGTAGAGGGTTATTTCAGAAGAGCTAGCCTTTGCTCTGTTAATGCTAAGATTGCTCTAAACACCCTTTCTTCTTATTTTTAAATGAATATTTGAATGTAGATTTATTTTTTTTTCTTTTCAATGACACTGTGAAACATGGACACTGTACGCATGTGTACAAAGTGAGCCTCTTTGGGGCTAGAGAATATCACACAGGGGCCAGCATGCCAAAGCTTGATTGGGCAGGAATAAAGATGTTCCATCAGGAATACATACATAGGTCAGATTAGAAGTAGCAGTGACTCATAGGACCTTGCAGTCAGGCATAGGCAAGGAATCTGTTTGCAAGTGTCTCCTGTGTGTGTGGCCTCTCACCTTCTGTCTGTGAGGTGGCCTTGATCAATTGAACTTGATTCCAATGACAGGAGTCAAACGCAGAAGTTTAGCAAGTGCTTCGAGTTGAGACACATTTTTTTTTCAGCATGGCAGTTGTAAAATATCAGACTCTGGTATGCTTCTCCCTAGAGGGCTAATTTTCCTCAAGATTAGCAGAGATCTGCTTCCACAGAGGATCAGAGAGAACAGCTGAACTAAAGGCAGGGTTACTTGGAACTGTTCAGTGAAGTTACACCTTACAGGAGAGTTTTGCATGTTAAATTTGGAAGCCTGCAAACTTTCTCTTGAGAAATTTCTAACGCTCCAAAGTAAAGGGGAAAAAAGTCACTTGCTCTTCTGTCAAGAAACATCACATTTTTGTATTGCTTGGTCCTTTATTTTTCATATAGATGAACTAAAATATGAAACAGGTTTACACATGCCTACATGTCTACCATCTAGAGTTACTTTTAAAGCAGCAGGATGGCTTATAGATCCCAGAGGTCAAATTCAGGGAGACTGGTACCCCCACATTATATAAGCACTGTGAGATGGCTGGCATAATTGCCTTGCTACTTAAAATATTGATGAGGTCTGATTCTTTCCTGTCTGTGTATTTCACTCATGTGCAAAGTGTCATTCACCTAACTGTGCGTGTGTTGTAACTCCACTGTGCTCATATATAAGAGATATTTGAAGAACTTCTTCGGGTGCCCCACAGGTGACGCTGAGTAGAATCCAGTTGTTTTTAACTCTTGGGAAACTGAGGTTCTAATGGTGTTCCTTAGGGACAGTACAGGTGAAACCATGGTGACAGCAATCTGGTCCCAGGAATTGATTGATGTCATTTGGGAAAGGCAGACAGGTGGAAGTAGATGGTAGACACTGAGTTCAGAAAGTTTGTGAAGAAAAACAAGAGCTGAAGGTGAGACTGACATTTACCGTTCTCCAGATTCTGGCATGGCTGGGACGTAGTGCCTCTCTACTAAGAGCAAACACACACACACACACACACACACACACACACACACACACACACACACCCATATAAAGAATCAAAAACCACTTTTTTCTTCAGCTCCTGAAGTTCTCACGTGTTATTTGTGACATTTTGGTTATATTCCATCACTGTTTAACTCAAAGCAGTTGCCCTGACTTTCAGAGGGGTAAATGGGTCAAACAGAGCAACCCAGAGATGACTGGATTCTGCTCTAGGCTGGCACCCCTACAAGTGACAGGGACCACATAGATGCTCCAGCTTCTACCTCTTGTTCTATATTGAAAACCCAGCATGTTAGATGTGTTATGGATTTACCTTCCCTCACCTAGTTCCTTCTTCTCCTGGACCTTGTCTGCAACCTCCAAAATAGCAGCTTTTCAACACACTTTCTAAAGCCCAGCAGGGCCAGCAGGTCTCCACAGGATGATGTGGACTGCTCCTTATCTTTAAACATTAAGGTGGTGGTAGGAGCTCTTGTGATCTCTGAAGTTTAAATCTCTAGTTTTTATTCCCATTGGGCAACTTTCTGAGTACTGTTGCTTTCAGAACTGGGGATATCCTGGTTACAGTGCAGGGTGGGAGTTGGGTAAATGACTGGCACACAGTGTGTGGCCAGTTTAAAAAAAACAAATAAACAAACAACAGCAACAACAACAAACTTTCCCAAGAGCTGCTGGTAATTGTTTTTTGGTTTTATTACCTAATTTGAGCTAAACGTTAGCACCCGCCAGATGAAATAACCATATTTCTGAGAAGGATTAGGGCCAAGAACTTCAGAAAACAGTCGGACTGTTTTATCCTTTCTTCTGCTACTTGTTGAATCTCTCCAAGCAGCTTCCTCCTTCCCTTACTCTACAGAGCATCTGGAAGACCTGAACAGGGTTTGAAAACCAGAGTGCCCTGGATGTAACACCACTCTGTGCACTGCAGTTGAAAATTCTCCAGGGCATTTCCAGTGACTCAGAATGGAGGGGTGGGGCATCTACCTCTGGGGCAACCATGGCTAAGATCCTCACTCCCTAGAAGGGTATGTCTTGCTAAGAGCCAATGATCCTACAGCAGCCCTGGCGTTGGCTGAGGTCATCTTTAGGACAGGCAAGTGCTTTGCTCAGCTCCTCCAAGCTCCTGTGTTCTGTCCAAACAATATCTGTCTCCTATTTCTGTCTACCTGTGATTGCTATTCACTGTGAGTTCAGTGTACCTGCTCAATGTGAAATCCTGAGACTCCCTGATGCATATTATGTGCTGTTCTGAACTGGTGGCTGATTTAAAAGCCCCAAGACTAAAAAAAAAAATTATATATATGTATATATACATATATATATGCTTCTGTTGAGCCATAGTGTATGTAATATAAATGTGCCTGCGTAGATTAAAATGTCTTCTCTAGCAATATGCCCTCGGACTTCCTTTGTCAATTGTGTGTGTGTCTGGTCGTCCCAGGTCATGTGCTCCTGCTTCCATTTCCATTAAGAAGAATGTCCCTTTAGCATGGAGAGTGTTGGAGATCTGTAGCGGCACATTTTAGTGGACACACTTAAGGATTTCAGCCGGCATTCTGGGTCCTGCCTTTCACTGTGACCTCAGGTTTATAGATACTCCATATATGACCCCTTCGCGCTGTTCTCTGCCCGTTAGGGTCCTGTTTCTTTTCATATGCCATAGCCAAAGGTGGGTGTTCCAGGGCCCATAGGCTGAGATAGAAGGACAACAGAGACTTTGGGAACTTTCAACTAACTTATAGGTTCACCACAGCTCCACAGTCAGCAAGCTGCAAGCTCCTGGGATTGTCCTGGAGTTAGTAGGCTCTGAAGTCCTGCTCATTAACTGCTTTGTAGCACTTTGTACCTCAAGCCACATAAAATGTTCTAAATGCTGTTGCTGTTAGCCAGCTGTGCAAAGGTCAGGGTTTAGCACTCTAGGTTCTGAAGAGCACCAGCCTTAGGTATGTACTCTCATTTTGCAGGCTACACTGGTCCCTTTATTCTCTATCTTCTTCTCAGATTTGTGTTTCCTTTACAATGGCTTGGTATAAGAACAAATTCTCAAAAGTTCTTTGGAACCAAAATGCTTTTGTTATTCTTAACCCTGTTCAGTGTTTTCACTCCTGACCTGGACAAGTGTGACTGTCATATACTTGAGGCTCCATAGGTATGAAAATTAGCCAATGCATCAATATTTAAAATAGCTGTTTAAACCTTCCCATATGTTCCATACCAGTGAAGATCATTTTAAAAGCCTATGGCCCCTTTTAAAGCCATTTGAATCTTTAATAGGCTTAGCTAACTGTTTCTAGGTCATGAGATGGGAGATACATTTCACCAGTCCTGAAGGTGGCCAAACTTAAATCTCTTTGGCTGAGAATATTGAGGGAATCTCTCACCTCCTGGGTTCCCTAGGCAGATAAAATGAAAAATGAAAACCTAGAGGTGCCAATGACCAGTTTTGCCTTGACCAGGAATGAGCTTTACTGGGGCAGAAGCACTTTCTTGGGAAGGTTGGACCGAGATGGAAACTGCCTGGGTTCATCACTAACATTCAGCAAGGTCAAGTTGGTCCCATCTTATCTGAGCTCTTCAGACATCCTAAACCCCGCTTCCAGACCTGCCCATGTACCAGTGTACACTTTGCCATTGACTGCCCTACTCAAATGAGGACTGGATTCAGAAATGTTTCCCAACACAGGAAGAGACATAATGGAGATTAACAGCCAAAATGATTTAAGAGTCCTGAATCGAACTTTTATCTCCTTGTTTGTGGGGATTTTTATATTTCTGTATTTTTCAGTGCTAGGGCTCTAACCTGGGGCCTTCTGCCTGCTAGGTAATTAAATGTTCTACCTACAAGCTGCATCCCCAAGGCTGGACAACATAAAAAACTCATTACACAAACCAGAACTTCCAACTTTGTAATAAGCACAGTGAGGCTCCCAGAGGAGTGGAAACAGTGAGCAGTTTCTGTCAGACACTCACTAACTCTTTGAGATCAGCTTGCTGAAGCAAATATTTGATGTGTATTTATGTGAGGGCTTTCCCTCTATGTCCAGGCATTTGGAAATAAGTAGATGGTGTGTACAGAAGGGCATGATAACAAGGGTTGGTGGAAGTCACAAACACACAAAAGTACAACAACACAAACTTTTTAAAGTTCTGTCTCAGAATCAGCTAGACTTATTCCCAATAGATGTTTTTTACACTAATAATAAATGTGATTATTTATTAGAAAATCTCAAATGATCTCCAAGATTTCAACTTCCATTGTCGGGTTAGTGGCCCACAGTCCAATCACTGAGGGTAACTGTCTACAACCTTTGCTGTTATCAGATCTGATATTTATTTACCTACTAACCACATTATGGAGGTTTCTTCTTTTGTATGTTTTGTGTGAGTGTGTGTGTGTGTGTGTGTGTGTGTGTGTTAAACATGTGGCTGTACACCCATGCATCCATGTGCATGATCCTGGGAACCAGGCAAGGACATCAGATGTCCTGCTTTAACACTTTCTCCCATTGAACCAAGGTCTCTCCCTGACCTTGAAGCTAGTAAATCGAGCTATCTGCCTGTCTCTACCCCATCCCCAGCACGGGGGTTATGGGTGTACATACCTAGTTTTTTAGCTGGGTATGAAGATTGGAACTCAGGTACTTTTTCTTACACTGTAAGCTCTCTTACCCACTGAACCATTTCCTAGTCTCCTAGAGTTTCAATATATTAGGCAAAATGGTTTTCCATGCACAAATGACTGGACAACGATGATGGTAATTTTATAATTATTTTAATAACCAGGTTTACATTAACAGTCACTTGATGAACTTTTTTTGTTTGTTTGTTTCTTTAATCTCAGCTAACTCAATACACAGTTTTCTTCACGGTTCAAACCAAACAGCTCTTCAATATCCGAGCTGCCTCACAGCTAGCACAGATCACAGGGAGACTCACTGTCTGTCCATAGCCACCAGACACAGAAATGAACACCCACACACCATGTCTCAAAGAGGAATTATAAGGAATGCTAGCTACCTGGGCCAGCACATGACTGCATCAGGACTCAAGCTGGGGCTGTCTAAGGGAGAAGATCTGGGAGGCTTGGGGCAAGAAGCAAAGTTGAGAAGCACTTACCTCTTGGAAGGGATTTAGCAGAATGAACAGAATGGAGACCAGAGTTAGGATTCAGGCCTTGGGAGATAGACCTCTGCCTATCATGATAAAGAAATGACCCAAAGAACCAGTGGACTTTGAAGTTAGAGAAAGGCAATTTTGGAAGATGACTATAATCCTATTAGTTTAAAAAAATAAAAACCAAAAATGGTGGAAGCAACAAATTTCTCCACTGGGGAAGCTGATTTAATTGCTCCAGAGAAACCTTCAACCACTCAAGCCTATGGCCCTTTCAGAACGAAGGTCAACAGATTGCCACTGGGGGCTCAGAAATAACTTGGAGGTTTGGAGACTGCAGGGTATTCTTAGAGGGGGCTTGGTGGAAAGCCCCAATGACAATGAGAGAAGATAGTACCCAGCATGCTCTCCCACCCTCGGAAGGGGCTATCTGTCTATGAGGCAGAACCAATTTGCATTTAAACTTGTAACTCAAGTAACATGCTGCTTAGAAAAATTCTCATGTTAAGAAAACAGTTGGGGAGCTGCCAAGGAATCCCCAGGATTTACTATGCTTGGGCACTACTAATAGTGAATGAAGAACATCCTGAGATGGTGCCTGCTCCCCTTGAAGACTTCAAGAAGCTGCTCCTTGCACAGGGAACGCTTGAGAGGAACGTAAGGTTTCAGCACAGTGGCACACTTTGGAAGTGCCAAGTGCAGTGCAGACCCAAAGGAGTTTATTTTTCATGACCAGAGAGACCCTGGAGGGTCCTCAGGCATGGGAAACCACACAGTTGTGGAGGCCTAAAATTACAGTTCATTTACATGTCTCTTCCTCCGTCTGGTGGCCACAGATGGTACTACAGCCTATGCTGCTGCCAAGCCTGGCTATTGAGGTATTTAGTATATATGCTTCAGATCTGGCAAACTCCCTTTGCCTATAAAAGTCCTTCTGTTTTCCTGGATATATCCCCAAATTTGAATTGTAATTCAAAATTTCATTCCCCTCTTTTCCTGCTAAAGTCTCCTTTAAAATGAAAGCACCATGAGAGCTTTAAAGTAGCAAGATTCCTATTACGAGGTGAAAGAGCCTTTTCTATTAGAACAGAAGCTAGCTTTCTCAGGGAAATCTCCTTCCTCTGCAATTTCCAAATCCTTACATATCCAAACTGTTCATATTTCTCTAGATCTTAGTTTTATTACAGCCAACAGTCAGGGCTGGGGGCAAAGGTGAAGCACAGTGGCAGAGTTTTGCCTAGCAATTGAGAGGCCCTGGACTCAATTGTCCAGCTCCACACAATGAAACAAACAAAACTCCCCCACCTCAAAAAAAAAAAAAAAACAGCAAAAACAAACAACACCCGCAGGCAGAGATGGCGGTTTCTCGTAAGTACTTAGAAGGTGTACGAGGCCTGCTCTGTTCTTCAGAGTACTTAATGCGCAGTGTGATATTTCTCACCAAGTGGGCCCCTAGAGCACACAAGTCTGAGCCATGTTTGCTACCATATTTCTTGCAGGAGAGTGAGTATCTTGGCTTCTACAAACCCCTTGCTCACAGAATCTGGTTCACGATTGATTTTGGAAATGGTGTGATAGGAATGTGGACATCTAACTCTGACAGACAAGGGGGGATGCTAACATTGCTGCCCACTACCCTCATGGGCTGCATACCAAGAAAGCTACATCATATTGCTTCATACATATCACCCTGGAGAGTTAGTACTAATTAAAAAGTGATATCCCTGCCCTGGGGATCTGCTAACAGATGAGGACACAATTGGCTTGGAATTGAAAACATGATCATCCAGTATGCTCCTGCTAATCAAGGCTGGCTTCCCTAAATCTCTGCTGTACTCCCACAGAATCGGAGACTACTACTGGGAGTAAAGTTTAGGAACAACTGAGAAAGTCAGTTCTCCAAGAAGAAATAACATCACGAATGTGCTTGGGTCTGAGATGAAGAGATTAGACATTCACCATGAGCAAAGGAAGCCCTTGACTCTATCTTAGCCATGGTCTCTAACTCAGCAGGCAGGAGCACGTGCCTCCTCTCTGCTTGCAGACGGGGGTGGGTGACTCCCCAGGGATGAGGGCAAGGCTGTCTAAGCTTTACCTTCCTCCCCTAAGTAGAACTGGGGCTGCACTCTCTATGGCAGCCTTTGAAGAGCCCCGAAGAGGCTGAAGAGGAAGAGAGCTGTCCATTTGTCCTTTGGAACAGAAGACTTGAAAGCAACAGGAGAAAGAGGCCCAAGCAAACACTGGCATTATTCAACAAGTGGAAGAAATATCTAGATTCTGTCATTCAATACATGATAAAAGAAACAAGATCTACTAGGAAAGGATATGACAAAGTCCAGAACCCAAAGAACTCCTGCCTTCTCTGCAGATCCCAGGGAAACGTGATAGAGCATCCACTGCCTTATGTGGCCATCTTCCATGGACATTAACACACATCATAATACAACACACAATGTCCTTCTTCTCACCCTGCCTACCCATCTCCCTAGTTCACGTCCTACCTCAGCCCCTTTGTGCCCTCCATCTTGTTCTGGGCTCTCACCACCCAATCATCCAAAAGACCCTTCATGCCTTCATTCATTTTCTGGACATCCCAGCTTTGTCTGTCCCTTTGTCATAAGATGCAGTGCTACATATGCTCTCAACACTATAATACGCAGAATCTACCTTAGTGGCCAGTCTGATCGCATGCATGTAAGTGGGGGTGGGGGTGGGGTCAAAGAAATCGAGAATATGCATAAACAGAAATCAAAGCAATTCGTAAAACTAGGCAAGCGAGCATAACATTTGGGAACATAAGGCTTGAGGCTTAGTGATTCTTTAGATCTCAACTGTTTGGATTCACGTTCCTTCTTAAATACCGGTGTACCATTTTGGCTTCAATTTTTTGTTTTTCTTTTTCTTCTTGCTTCTGCCTCCCTCTTTGGGAGGGCTTGCTTAACTCAGGGATGTGATGTTAGAACGGCCTCCAGGGGGCGCCACAATGCGTTTGCTGGCTGAACGGACGCCCTCATCCACTTGGGTGCCTGCAGATGGAGAAACAAGGGGGAAAGAAACGTATGGGGGGAACAGAAAGTGAGTAATTTTAAGAGTGATCAATACAAGTACTTTCCTGGTGCACAAGAAACTTAACACCAAATCTTGAACTTTGCATATTCATGACTCTCCTCAGACTCCAACTCCAGTCTTGGAAAAAGACTTTCTTAATAGGAAACTCCTTTCTTGAGTCACTCTGGTGCTAAACTCATCAATACTATTAGTAAGGCTGTTTATATGGACTGTTCTTTGTTTTACAGTCCAACTACTGTGGTTTGGGAGAGAAATATCTCATTGTTCCATAACAGAGGGATTTTGTAGCGGTTCCCAAAGCCCGGAAGCTAGAGGGGTTACGGTCCGTCCCCTGTTTTCGCAGGTGGAAGAGCTAATGTGTACTTGGTTCCATTGAACTCTGAATGCATTGGATGGATGCACTAGAAAACCACAGACAAAGGTGAACACAATCCAAATTCCATTGTAGGGAAGTACACCTCCATTTATCTTCCCCCACTTTAAGACAACTATGGAGCAATTAAACAATCATTTTCTACATTAAAGAGTTCTTCAGAAATAGATGAGGGCCATAACATGGTAAGCACACGGCAAACATTCAATTAGCAGATGTTATCCCTGGCATCATTTTTACTGTGAAGGGGAAACTAGGCTCCAAGAAGCTGCTGTTAGAAGAACATGAAAACTGTCTTTATTGCGTTGGGATTTAAACACATACATACCATACTTCTCACAAGCTGATGCTGGGGACCATTATCAATTCATAGCAGAAATCAGCTCCATTGACCCACTCCCAGTTAGGTTTGATCTCTAAGTAGAATTTGCTATCATTTGAACCTGACCTCTAACTTGAAGATTTCTTGTTTGACTTCCTTACCAGGGCCACATGCTGAGTAGGAAATCTTTATTTCCTCAGTTCTCATCACCTCTTGAAGGGGACATAAGCACTGGCTTGGGAAATGCATTTAACTTTATGTTGTAGCCTAGAGATGCTGGTCTTTTCCCCTTTCTCCCTCTCCCCTCCCTTCACCAGCTCATTCTGCTCACCTGACAGGCTAAATCCCGACTGATGGAGGTTCCTCACTGGTGGGTTTGGCCGAGTGGGAGAGCCCCGAGTAGAACCAGCTGGGGTGCCCCCCTTGGGGGTGGTGGTCAAGTCAAACACTGGTCCATCATACATGCCTCTTGGGACTGCATGCAGGTCTGCCATCTGCAGCCAGAGAAACAGATCACCATTCATTCCTCCATCCAATCACCCAACAGTGTAGAATGTCCTCTGGAAGGTGCAATCGTGTCAGTGAAAAGAGTGTGTGGAGAGGAATCCAGGGGAAAACAGAAGAAATGGATATGAAAGAAGAGATAGTGCCAGAGGAAACTGAGGGTAGAAGTCATCAGGAAGGCTTCTGTAGACATGAGATTCCATCTAGAGCAGTGGTTCTCAACCTTCCTAATACTGAGACCCTTTAATATAGTTTCCCATGTTGTGGTGACCCCACCCATAAATTTATTTTGTTGCTACCTCATAACTGTAATTTTGCTACTGTTATAGATCACAATGTAAACATCTGTGTTTTCCAATGGTCTTAGGTGACCCCTGTGAAAGGGTCATTTAACGTCCTCCCACCCCACCCCACAAAGCAGTTGAGATCCACAAGTTGAGAACAACTTGTCTAGAGGATCAAATGGCTGAGGGGATGCTAATCACTGATGTGAATGTCAACAGAGGCAGCAGGAGATCAGCACGTACAGCTAGCTAGAAGTAGGAACATGATGGAATGGAGGAACTATTAGGAAAGTTGGAGTGGAGCCAGTAGGAAGGACAGGAGTCTTAAGATGAGGTCATGTACACTGTCAGAATAAGATCCCTTGGCAGACCCACCCAAGGCTTTTTAGGACTTTTCTCAAGTTGGGGCTTCAAAGCCCTAAACTGAGTGTCTGTGGTCCAACCCATTGACTTTTGGCTGTGAACTTGCCTGGGGACTGTGCAGTCACTCAGCAAATATCAATCAACTTTGTGTTTTATGCTGGGATTATGCCAAGGGCTGGGGTTTATAGCCTTGTGAAATATGCCATGTCCCCCAGGGACATTTATGGCCTGTGAGACAAGCATGATGAGACCACCCAGGCTGTAGCAGTCCCGAATGGAACCCCTGACCATCACTGGGTATAGTGAGGTAGTGAGGATGTGCACCCCTATGAGGCTGACAGGGAAGGATGAATCAGGGTGAAACCTCTGTGCAGCCACCAGGCACATCGCCGCTCTCCTCATGGAATGAGGGCTGTGTCCCTAATCAGTACCCTTCATCCACTAACACTACAGAAGAGGCATTTCTTTGGTCCCAGAATCTAAGCCATAATAAGAAAATGTCTACACTGGGGAAGTTTGGCTTTTCTTCTCTTTTCTAGTAAGCCAAAAACTGAAGTAGGGAGCTCCAATCTTATACCGCTATCCCAGTCTCAGGGTCTGGGATAATTCATCTGTGGAGAGTTGTAAGAACATCTGGAAGCTAGAGAGGGGAGAAAAAGAAGAACTCACCAAAATACTGAGGCCCCATCTTTAAATCACTCAAACTACTCCAGGTGTGTGTGTGTGTGTGTGTGTGTGTGTGTGTGTGTGTGTGAGAGAGAGAGAGAGAGAGAGAGAGAGAGAGAGAGAGAGAGAGAGAGAGAGAGAGAGAGGAGAGGGGGGAGATTTCATATGAAACACAGTAGTTAAAAGTTGTAAGCATTCTCCCAGTGGAGCATCTTGGGCAGACTAGAAGAGAGACAGCCGGGTATCAGTCAACTTGTTCTTGTTTTAAACCTTTGGGAACAATTTTTCTATGAAAATATACTATCATTATGTCAAATGTTTCCTATTTTAAACTGAAGTACTATAATAATGTGTAAGAATTATTTGGGGAAATGAAATGTTTCTTTGGCCAAACATTTTTAGAAGTCCTCCTGTCAAACTTTGAATTCTGCACATCATTGCTTCAGGGCCAAGCTGTTGCTAAGGCTTTGTCTGGGAGGGTCTGAAGAAGCCTAGTCCTCAGAATCCCAGGAACTGCATGTGTCTCCACACCCTTTCTAACTCCCATGCCTTACTGTTACTCACCTTCCTCCTTGCTTTAATGCGCTTATAGACATAGTCAGAGAATGGGGTGCAGGGAATGAAGCGGCCAGCCCCCTGGGTCACGTGCAGGTTGCCATCTTCCAGCATGATCTTGCCCTGGCAGATAACCACCAGAGGTGCCCCACGCAGCTCCATCCCTTCAAAGATGTTGTATTCAGCAACCTAGATTAGGGATAGGGACAAAGCCATGATATGGGTGTAGGAAAAGAAGAAAGAGGAATGGGGTTATCTTCTGTGTTGGGGACCCTCCTTTGGTGTTACTAGGAACAGAGTCATGTAGTAAAGCCAATCAAAAAGCTCAGGACACACCTGCCTGCCTTGATCAAAAACAGGAGACTGACACATCCTGGAGAAGAATGCCTCAAGCAAAGCAAAATGCCTTTCTTCTATTAAGATATCTAATTGGAATTCTATTTCTATTGCTGGCCGTATCAAACTCAGCTACAAGACCCCCAGGGATGTTGCACATGATGCCCGTCCATAGTGGCTTAGTGGTTAGTTCAGTGACACATGACCCTCCGGCCCCTGCCGGTGCACAATTCCATAACACCCTGTGATTTAGATGCAAAGGTCATTACTACCCAGAATAGAATTCCTGTCTTCCTTCTTCTCTTGTTCAGCAGGAAGACACTGCATGGTTGGGGATACTGGTTGGTGCTAGGGTTTGAATACCACCGCCAATCAATCCTTTATTTTCTCTGTACTTCTAGAAATTAGGCAAAACTACAAAACGAAGGTAACAGAACCCACCCAAACAGTATCCACCGGTCATGAGATTCAGTGAATTGGAAGGAAGATGCTTGGCACATAACTACTTCAGATATTATTTTTATGACCAAGTAATTAGGACTTTTTTACAGTACTGGGTTTAGGTTTCAATCTTTTAGGTGAATTGGAGTGGATAATGAGGACATTTAACTTTCTCTTCATTCAAAACTAAGTCTTTTTTAGCCTCTGAAATTCTGGAAGCACTCAGAGAGGCAGTGTCTCTCTGAGCCTCCATCCCTGAATGACTAGGAAGGGCAGAGCTCCTCTGCTGACTACCTCACTCAGGAAAACAGGGGAAAGAAAGAAATAGTTTAAGGTTTTTTATGCCAAAAAAAGTTAGTGTATACTGGATATGGGAGTGCTTACTGTCACACCTAAACCTGGGAGGCAAAAAAAAAGGGGGGGGCTATTAGCAATTCAAATTTGAAGCCTGCCTGAGCATGAGACCTTGCTTTCAAAATAAAATGAATCACAGATGAAACAAAATGCTCTTCAGGGCAAGATTATTACTGCAGACCATCTGAGTCTCTGAGATTGGCCCACCCTATAAGCTTATTCCCGAGGCAGCTCTATACACACATTTTCCATCCCACCAGCCCATGCCTCACCGACTGGTGGTTCTTGGCAGAGACGATCTTCACGGCATCTGGATCCCAGATGACAAGGTCGCTGTCAGAGCCCACAGCTATTCTCCCCTTGCGAGGGTACAGGTTGAATATCTTGGCAGCATTGGTGCTTGTCACAGCCACAAACTGGTTTTCATCCATCTTCCCTGTGGCCTATTGAAAAACAAAGACTGCATAACTGTGCCTGTCTCCAGATCTATGGCAGCTCTTCCCATTGGATGCAAGGCTTCTGAGCCCAGAGTAAAATAACCTCCAAGGACCAGGAGTACAAAGGAGTACAGATTCCATCTTTCCAGGAGTGTCAGCTAGGCAGTCTGAACTTCACAGGGAAAAAATGGAAATGAGTGGCTTAAGATAAAAGTTCCTTTCCCTAAAGAATGTACTTTTTCTAGCTAACACCATGGTGTTTACTTAAGCATTTACTTCTACTAATTCCAAAAAGGATCAAAGAGAGTTTACAGTAAAAACCAATGTGAGTGTGAACTCCTCCTTTAGGCATATGTGTGTATTTGTATGCTCAAAGGATTCACATGCAAAGCCTTGCTTAGATGCTGACGGTGGGCATCCTAGTGTTATAGAATTATATGGCTTTTTAAATGTATGTATTTGTCTGATGTTTCTTTATTGAGAATGTATTGTGTTACCAATTAAAAGAAGAAAGGAATCATTGCCAAGTAATAAGGATATGCTCTGAGAAGTGTGTTGTGGTGATTTTGTTGTCCTTTGACCATAACAAAGTTCTCTTATTTAGTAAATCAACTGTGATTATCACTAGTGATTTAACCTTAGGGGACCAATTATAGACTCAGTATTGCAGCATATATGTTTTATATTAATTTTTAATAAATTAAGATAGGATTTGTAAGATAAAGCATTCATAAAGACAGAATGCTCACAAAAATAGACAAAAGCCAACCACATGAGAGAAGAGACAGAGAGGTTATAATTTCTCTTTTCTTAAAACAAACAGCCTGAGTATGGAAAGAATTAACTTTCAAACACAGTCTTTAAATTTCTGAAAACACGGGGCTTACTGGATTGCCCATGTAGATGAAGGAAGCATTAGTTCAGAGACACTGTCCTAGCACTGCACATAGGGAGGGGACTGGACAATGAATTTCTTATGATTTTACTAAAATCTTCAGGAGTGTCTTTACTGATACGACTATTTCTTTCATCAGTCTTTATGATACAATCAGGGAAAATAAAACGTTGCTACTTGGCAAGAGACACTGAGAGTCAATCTCTTTTATAGCCTGGGGTGTTCAGGAGCCTTCAGTATGGAATATTACTGCTGAGACTTCGTGACTTCAGGGACAGATGAATTGTTAGCCATTTCAAAGTATCACATCCAACATTTCCAAAAGAAATTATTAAGCTCTTTAAACATGAAGAATGGATTCGCTCTCCTTTTAAGCACAGATCATTCATGAGATCATATGACAAAACAGTGTGTATGGAAGCTGTCTTAGACTTTCTGGATCTCAGAAGTCATTCCTGGGAGGTGAATTCACAAGAAATGTGAGTCACAAGGCTCTGTGTGTTGTTTTGTAACAAAATCTCAAACATTTGATTTTGTTAATAAAGATGCAGGGCCCAAATGCTGGGGTGAAAGCCTGCTAGTTCAGGGAGGCAGAGAAAGTACCCAGATGATCTTTGCAGACCTTCATCCACAACTGATGTTCCCAAAACAAAGTTCTCCTTCTCCATGCCTGCTCAATAACCCTTCAAACCAAATGCCCCTCCTTTTTACTTCTTGTGTCTCTCTGTATTTGTCCCCCTGACTTCCTCTTACCCTCTGTTGTTTTCCCCCCTATATTCACTTCCTGTCTGGTTGCTTGCTCCACCTCTTGACCAATGGTTGACTTTATTTAACCCAGTAAACAGGAAGCTCTTGGATTAAAGTTGTATGCTAGAGTTAAGCCACACAATGAAAAACAGGTTTTTCCAGTAAATAACATAATCTCATTGTACACAGTGTGATCCTGCTGTATACATGGACACCTCAGTAGGTGTAGACCTCACCTACACCCTGAACATACTCTTCAGGCCATTCTGAGGGCCAAGTTTTAGTTTGATTGGTGCCTGAGGCTTTGATTCGGTTCATATAGATAGTTCTACTGGTGGATAGTCCCTTACCACAGCTTTGTCCCAGATGACAGACATACGCTCTTCCACGCCATTGGTGCCCTCAGGGATGGCTGTGAAATTGTCCTTCCCAATGGCTTTCTGGGCAGTGCTAAAGGTACAGTGGGCACTTCCAGAGAGCTGCAGATCCCCGCTGGAAAAGGAGAAAGTTTCACATGTTTAGGAGAGATGGCTGGAAAATACTGGGGGACCAGAATCATGTCTTCCTTTGAAATTTCTCTATCCTCTACTAAGCTGTGTGAGTAAGCTTCCTCCCGTCTCTGGGCTGTTACCCATCCATAAAGTGAGGAAGTAAAACCAGATCATGTCTTCTGTGGCAATTACAAAGAATCAGATGAAGGCTGGAGAGCTGACTCAGTGGTTATAATCACTTGCCTTTGCTGCAGAGGATCCAGGTTTGGTTCTCAGCAGCCATACCAGGTGACTCACAACTGGTTCTAACCCCAGTTCCATGCTATCTTATACTTTCTCCTGGCCTCTGCAGGCATCTACACACAAGGTGCACATAAAGATATGCAGGTGAGCATGCACTCTTCTGTGTGTACACGTGTAAAAACACACACAAATAGAAACAAAGTTGCAAACACATAAGGATTCAAATGATCTGTGGCCCGATTTTTGAATCTCCCTATAATTGCTGACTAAGTGTCATTATGACAAATGCTTTGAGTCCTGACAAATAGCTTTTAAGTGTCTTGACCATCAGTTGCTTAATCTATAAAATGATGTCTCACTCATAAAATTGTTATAAGGGACAAGGGAGAGCTCAAGCTTGGCACAGTTAGTCATCAACTGCTAGGACCATTATTCACGCTGAAACTGTGTCATCAATTGAACTGTGATGTAAAAACAGCCAGTTTTCTGTACTCAAGACTGCTGGAGGATTTGATGCTGTAGACTCTCATCTACCACCTACACCATACTACCTACCCCATCACAGGTGGCCTCAAGATGATCCCACAAAACACATGGCATTCCTACACCAACCTGGCCAGCAAGGAGTTGATGTAGTCAGGTGTGGTTGGGTCAGGGCTCAGAGGTGGGGATGTCACAAATGCAGCTGCCTTGGCCCAGTTCTTACTCCAGTAATGAGTTCCATCTATTCCCAGACTGGCAGTGATGGGCTCGCCAAAGACCACATTTCCTGGAAGGAATGGATATCAGGTTTGTAAGAGATATGGACTGCTCTGGTCCAGCATATCTAACCAGAACTATAACTTTGCTCAAGACTGTGTCTCTGGAGTGAGTCAACCCTGGGGTTCAAGTGTCTATTCCTTGTTTTGTTTTGTTTGTTTGTTTTTTAGGTCTGTTTCTCTATTAAATGTGAACAACGTTTTTAAGGATTGAATGAATGAATGAATAAATTTTCACAATAATAAGCCACTAGTTGTAAGCTTTGGATGTAAACCTCACATTTTGAGGCAATTTTAAGTTTGACATGAAAAAAATAAAATTATTTACTGATTATGCAGATTATAGGAGTCATGTTCATTTTTAGAATATTAAAATGGCAAAGCATTTTGTCTTAGAACTGATGACACTGGTTACAGTCCCAGACTTGTGACAGGACTTAGCATACATGAAGGTTCTGGCTCATGGTAGACGCTCAATAGATACTAATTGTGTGTGTGTGTGTGTGTGTACAAATCATTTGAGAATGTATTTATACATGTGTGGACATGGGTGTGGAGGCCAGAGGCCAATGTTGGATGCCTTTTTTGTCGTCCATTTTCCTTTTTTGGCTAGTCTCTCACTGAACTGGCAGCTCCTTGACTAGGTAAGATGAACTGGCCAGTGAGGTCCAGGGGTTCTCTTGTGTCCATCACCCTAGAGCTACGACCATAAGATGCCCAGATTGTTGCTCAGGTCCTCATGCTTGCATGGCAGATGCTTAACTGATTGAGCCTTCTTTCCAGTACTAATTCCTCTCCCATCTACCCTTTTCCACTGTAGAGGCCCAAAGTTCTGAGTATTTTTCACATTGCTGGGGACTGCCAGCTCTTCCTGCTCCAAGGACAAGATTTGACCTTACAGGGTAAAACCATTCTGTATGATAAGGGGCTCTTATATGGTTTTGTTGCTGCTGTCTTACATATTAATCATGCTTTCCCTTGACTATGCAATTTTTCACTTTGATAAACAGTGACATGAAACTGGCAACCCAGCAATCTGAAATACATCAAGATGGAACTGGACCTTGAATGCAATATCAAGCTTATGCTATACTTTTACAAAAGAGAGAGTGATTCAGAAGGAAATGCTTTTCCCTAAAGTTGGTTGGCCCCTCATTTCTTTACATCAGCATGTTGGGACAACCATATGACGATAAGCCTTAGGCAGTTTTATACTTTCATTTTTTTCTGCCTTCTGTCTCCAGAGTTTGCACAATCATGTTCTATGAGGTTTCATGGCCAGGGCTATAAAGAGATTTTGCCTTGTTTCAACTTCAATCAATTGTTAACAATTCCCTGGAATACTAGGTAGGGGAAAATTCTAACAAATGTGTCTGGTTTCACTAGAAGATATCCATGATTGGTTAGTTGTGTCTACTACAGAAAAAAAATATGAGAATAGCAGTGATTGACATACCCATCCTTGTCTTAAGGGGTGGTGTCATAAAGGATTGACAAAAATATAGGAGCAGGAAGAAATGAAGAAATGAAATTCAAGGAAAACACTCAGCAATTATAAGAAACCTATCCTTAAGAGAGGATCTTGGGACTACACTTAGAATAAACGTTGGAGAGAGTAGTGTTCCCCATTATATCTGAATTTTGATACTGAACTACCCAGCTGATTGCATGAATTTCTTCATTCAAAACAGAGTAATAATGATGCCCATATCACATGACTTAAGAGTTGTTTGAGTATTCTGCATGACTAATATTCATGTCAATGCCTCACTGCATTACACTGTATGTGAGTGCGTGTGTGTGTGTGTGTGTGTGTGTGTGTATAGAAAGAGACTGGCCTATATCCTTGTGCTTTGACACAAGTGCACCCCTCCCCCACAAGCCTTAAACTGTAGCTTTCTTATATTCATTGTGAACACATGAGGTATTAAAGAATGTTGGTGATGGATGATGAGAACCTTTGGGAATTGAAAAAGAACAAATTCATGAGGAAGCCATACTCTATCTTCCTGTTGGAAGTACTCTTGATTCTCCCTGTGAAAGGATGTCCAAAAGATGTTCATAGCTTCAATATCTGCAGCCACTTATTTTGTCCCAGAATTACACATCACCTTAACCCTGGAAGAGCATCTGGGTGAGTTCTCCTTACCAGACAATCACAAGTCAGAAGGCTAATGGGAGGAGGCTTCTATTGTGAATATGAAGTAAGGGCAGCTTACACTTGAAAACACACCATCCTTGGGGTTGAGCACAGAGCTCATGTGGGATACACCAGCAGAGGGCATGAGATGTTAATGTACTGTGTGGATTGAGTGAGTGTGTGGTCTCTCCTCCTCTTCCTTTCTCCCTCCTTTTCTGTCTTCTTATAGAGACCACCACTTCTATTGAGGAGAGCTGGACTGCTTTCCTGGTTGTCCCAAATGCCTCTTACCCAGGGGAGTAGGATTATTAATTGCTGAGAGCTAAAACATCAGGTTTTCCATAAACAGGGAGAAGTGGGAAATACCCCAGAACATCACCTCTAGGAAGACATTTGGACACCTAGAAAGATTCTTCTCCCATTGGAAAAGGGTCATCTTTCTCCAGAAAGCCAAAGAGCTGAAAAAACACTGCCAGAAGTCAGCTGTGCTGCCCCTAAGCACCATAGTGAGTCTGACATGGAAGTTCCTCAGGACCACTTAGCTGATGAATCACTCATCTTAGGTCTCTCTGCTAGGAGATGGCCATCAGTACACAGTAATAGCAATGCATGACTGCCTGGGGAATCTTCATTCACAATCAAGCACAGCCCACATCTCTAGTGTCTCAAACACACTGAGCTCAAGAGCCTATCACTACAGAAAAGGCACATTAAAGAAAAACAAAACCAAAGCTTTGAACAGGGAATTCAAGACACTGCAAGCCCTAGTTAAATTAACAGCAGTGGACAGCATAGAAGAAGGCAGAAAGTCATGAAGACCACAGCATAAAAGCCATTCCACTCCTTTCTAAGATACTTGTTCTGACCTGAGTGGTCAGGTGAAGTGACCACACCCCTGTGGTGAGCTCTCAGGACTGGCCAGATGATGCTGTCTCTGGCCTTTGATTCAGGGATGCACACAGATCCAAGGCAAGATAATCACAAATTCTTAGATGCTTGGTTGAGCCACTTCTCCATTGTTTCCTTCAATGGGAATTGAGGACAATAGATGCCCCCTGATATCATCTATTCCTGTCACAGTTAATACTGATTGTGAAACCACCAGGGACATAAAAAACCCAAGAAAACAGTGAATGGCTAGATACTAATGTCGTTGCTGAAACCCGCCAAGCTAACCATGCCCTAATTACAACCAATATTTTAGTTGTTGGTGGCTTGTTTAAGCCAGTTTTGACCTGGATCTTTGACTTCTATATTCAGCATAATACTGACTGGAGTGGTTACTTATGAGTCTCAGATAATGTGAACTGACATAGGACAGCTGGAAAGTGAGTGGAAGATGTACCAAGTCTTGGAGAAATTAATTTGTGCTGTTATTTCGGGAAAATTGCTTAACCTTCCTGAGCCTCAGTTTACTTGTATGGCAGATGGAAGAAACCTCAGAACCCCAGTTGTAGACAGGCTTCCTAGAGAACATGGCAAGAAACAGAAGAGATGCCATTTCTATTACAGTGGACAGCCTGGAGAGGAGGGGAGAAGCCATGTGGTGCAGTGGGAGGTTCACCGTCCTGGGAGCACAAATCACCTTTCTTCCTGGCTTGTGAGATGAGATCAGCCGCACTCTTGCTCATGACCTTGGTGACATAGAGGGGGCAGTTGGTCTGGCTGGCGACGGTGATGGCACGGAACACAGCTTCAGCTTCCAGCTACAAAAACAAGTACCCACAATCAGCAAAACAGAGCCCCTCACCCTTGCCACGTCTTGCCTCTATAACAGGTGGTGACAAAGGGCTTTGATGAGGCTAAGAACCACCCAGGAGTATCTGAAATTACATAGCCTGAGTGTGCTTCTGGAATTCATCTTCCCTGTTACATTCCTGGGCCTCCCTGTGTCTCTCTCCCTCAACAAATGAGGGGAACAGCACAGGGTTGTGTCTAGGGCACTACCTGTCATTGTGTCATTGTACCTCTCTCCTCTCCTATAGTTAGCATGAAGGTCCCCCGCCACCCCCCCAAAAAAAAAAAAACCTTTACTCTCCAATTCAGGACAGAGTCTCTGGGAAAGCACAATCACATCATCGCCAGATGAAGACAATCAGGAACACAAGGACATCAAGTCATTTCCTGCCGCTACGGGGTCAGCAAAGGGTTAGTTCTATGAATGATTTCTTATTAGAATAGTTCCCAAGCTTCACAGCTCAGCCACTGTTTTTATTACTAATCTCTTCTAGCCTACTCCAACGTAGAGTTCATGCTTTCAAATACGCCAACTAAGCCAGCCGCACTTAATACATGACGGATACTGATCAGTTTCCCCATACTTGATTTACCAAGTGAGATCTGGGAGCTCAGGCTCCCTTGGGTGACAGAGAAAATCCTGGTTCTGTTATGTACAAGCAAGTTAACCTCAGGTAGATCTCACAATCTCTCAATGCTCCTGCTTTCCTGCCTAAGTGGGAGAACCAAAGAGTTCTGACATCTGGAGCCATTGTAAAGATGAAATGATTAATCCTTTTGAGAAATTAGTGCCCGCAACAGTGGCTATTGGTCTGATTGTTAGTCACAGTTTCTGACCAATGTGAAGTCTGCTATTGCCCAAACCCTGAGCAAGTCCCGCTCAGTCTGGAGTAGAGACACAGTGGTGATTCCTCATTGAATCAGCAACCATTCCTTTTCATATGGACATGACTCTCTGGGTTAGCTTGCACAGACCAATACTTAAAAAAAAAATGCTTCAAATAGCTTACAGATGTCTAGCGGCTACATAATGCAAACCAGCCACTCCATGGTGAATGTGGCTCAGTCGCCTTGTGGAACTGGGGCTGGCTGAGCTGGCATGCTCCAGAAGGGTTTGGGGTACAGGTAAAGCTCTTTAAGCACCCAGACACTGCACCCTGGAGAACATGCTCTATGCCTGTTGCTCTGCTTTCTGAACAGTATCACTTGAGAATACATCTGGGTCGGCTTTGAACTGAAAAGGAGCTGACTTTTCCTATGCTCACCCCACTTCGGACCTTTGTTGACCACTTCAGCAGCCCCATGACCTCAGCCCTCGCCCCTTTGATCCCATTCCCTCCCAGAACCAGCACAAAGAGTTTTTTTGCACGTTGACTATCTTTAGAAGGTGACATCATGTTTCAACTTTACTCAAAAGAGCTTCTAGGGTTGGAGAGATTTATAGCTAAGTGACCTTCTTACTAAAAAGGAGAAGGGACTAGGAAAGGTTGAGGTGGTGGGGGTGGAGCAAGGTTGAAAAAACAAACCAAGGAACAAAAATAGACTCTGCTGTGAAATCCCCTGGCTGTGTCTAAAGAAATACGTCTTGCCAGCCTACCCCTCCAGAGACCAGCATTTCTAGTTTCACAAACAGTGTTGACCACGATGGTCAGCTAACGCCATATAAATGATTCCCCAGTCCTTCAAATATGATCAGGTCATGGCTGATCTCTAACTTTCAGGTTCTTTACCCTCGAAATGCCAGTACCTTGAATGGTAGCAATAATACCTGCGATAATACATGAAATCAGCACTGTCAGGAACAAGTGTCTCTTACAAAGAACCTGGAATCATTAGGGCACTTTTTTTTTTTCAGGAATGTTGTGTGTGACTGGAATGTCCATCATTAATTTACAGACCGTATCAACTGGTGACATCTAGAAAGCTGACCATGTCCTATGTCTCCTTCTGGATGCACCCAATACAAGTTTATTATTTAGCTTGCAAAATATATAGCCTCATTGTAATAGGAAACTTTCCTTATATCTGTGTTACATTTAAATTCTTTGCAGGCTGCAGAAGAGATGAGGGAAGAACTAAATGTTTAGGTTCTGCTTCTTCAGTGGAGTTTGCCATAACAGGGTTAGTTTCATTGACATGGGGAGCCTTGAGGTCACTCAAGTCCAGAACAATCCTGCTCTCATATTGGTGGGCAATTAATTCCAAGCTCTGAGCCCTGTGCCAGCAGCAGTTGCTGACAGAAGAGACAAGAATCGCTAGTTATATTGACTGTGAAAAGTCTATTTAACCTCCTTTCCACATTGTCAGTGTTTTCCAAGACTCATTGCAATATGAAAAAGTACATACGAATTTCTCTAGAATTTGGATGATTAGAAAAGACTTAGACATACAGCTCTCCTACTGAAGGCCTAGGGAGTGAAAGGCAACCGAAAGTAAGAGATGAGCATCTATGTTACACTTTCTAGCCAGAAGAGGTCTCTGAGAGAAGTCTCCCAACAATGATAGATTGAATCGTAGATTCTATCACATTTTCCCAGCAGTACTTGTGCCTAAACTGTTTGAGGATATGGCTCAGGCGGGGCCAAACAGAAACATTACATATGTAAAGTGAGTGGCACCCTAGGACTGTGACAACCAGTCACCCGGAAAACACTGGTGAAAAGAACCCTTACTGCCATCTTGACTTTTCACTGTGCGCCCCACCCCCGAACCCCCATAAAACCTACCTCTTCTGGTCTGCTCAGAACATGGCCTTCTGGGCCGGTTATTCCCATTTCCAGCATACGTGCCTGCTCCTAAAATAAGAGAAACAAAATGAAGAACATTCTTAGATGACCGAACCCAACATTTGGGAAAATTATGTCTGTATACTCTAGGATAAAATGCATTCGGGGGTGGGTGGGGGAATAAAATTTATATGTTATATGAATATATAATTCTGCATTTGGAGCAGCAAAGTTGAATCTTTAAAAAGTTAACTGGCTTCCTTTATTATTATTATTGTTATTATTTATTATTATTTATTAAAAGAAAGGAAGATCATTTGATAAGAGTGTTCATGTTTTGTCTACATTTCCAGTAAAATGTTACTTACTCTTCACCTCTTTCTGACCCAACTCCCTGGGAAGATCTCTTTGCCTGACTTTCTGGCGGTTCAGTCTTTCCTTTGTTTTAATTCTATGAAAGGTGTTAAACATCAGCTCTGATTTAAGTACCTGGATTAAGGTCATGTAGCTTAAGGTTTAGGGCCAGATTCTCTGGCATCTGGTCACCTGCCTTCTCTATCAGATTCATTGTGGGCTCTTTTAGTCCAGGTGCAGATGTCCAATCCTATCCTTGCCTAACGAGAAGCTACAGTTTCAAATTCTGACAACTCATGTTTTAATATCAGCCTCCACTCTAGGTTTGTGTATTTTAAATACATGGATTAGATGAATGAATTCAGAATTCAAGCAGGAAAAAAAAAGCCTCTCAACAGTATTACTTGAGTTTTGATAAAATTCTATTTACATTATAGGTATGACAGAAAGGCCTGCTTCTTATGGCTGACTTATAATTTTCATATCTATGAACAAGGTTTATGGAGAAGCAGATGACTGGTGAACACAGGTAGGAGTGGCAGAAACACTAGACTGCTGTTGTCTGCAGTTGCACCCTGAAATTATCAAGGCTAGCTCCTAAGAACCTCTGCTCTAGGGATCCCAGCTTTGTGGCCTGGGAGATCCTTGAAAAGCAAGAGAGTTGGCAGATGAAACTAGCTTGTCTCACCTGGTAACTTAAGAGAGTTAGTATAAAAGGATTCTTAAGGGTCTTTTTTTGTGTTGTTGTTAGTAATTCAAATTAAGGGGATGTTAAGGAAAGTCCCTATATGTGGTGATTAACCTTGATGGTCAGTCTGCTGGAATCCAGGAGAAAAACAAAGAACACTGATCTCAGTCAGACAGGGTTAGTTTGTTGAACTCCAGAAATGATGGATAAGGGCCTCAGGTCAGACTGGGGAGTTGTGACCTTGAGTCAAAATTTTATAGGGTTTTTTAAGCCTGAGATCTACAAAGATCTGTGCCAAGTTATTCCACCCATCAGGATTTAGAGACAGGGGATTTCCTTAGGAACAAGTCTTTGTTGTGCATAATCCTGTTCACACTGGTTGGGGTATTCAACTAAATCTGGGGAATTGACTTGTCTAACATTCATGTCATAACTTGTCAAACAGGATGGGACTTGTCTAACGTTCATATCTTAACTTGCCAACCAAGATGTCAGTTACCCACATACTTGTCTCTTTCTGCCAAGTGAGGTATCAGTTCCCAAGGAGGTCTTGGGAACTTAAACTTTATTCAACCCCTACTCAAAATGGAAGTCTTACTCTAAATAGGTGCAGGTGTCTCTTATCTTGCAGTCCATCCCAAGGGCAGCTTATAGAGGCAAATCCCATAAAAGCTCATACACAGATGTAGGAAGTGTTGCTGAGTGGTAGGTTCAGGTCCAGGCTTATTGTGGCTAACTGTACAAAGCAGTTCTAACTGACTTCTGTTGTGATTAGCTTCCAAGAACACCAAAGCACAGAACATCCAAGTGACAGCAGAAACAACATGTGAGAAAGTTTCCTTATAGCATCATAAAATATATATATAAAATGGCAGGTTAGACAGCTAACAGTTACCTCAGGCTTAACATTTCACCTACAATTTGATTGAATTTGTGATCACCTAGGAGACCAGATTGGTGAGGCATACTTCTGGGTACGTCTAGGGATTAACTGACGGTGGACCAAACTGTTCCAGATAATTAAATCAACCAACAGAAAGCCAAGGGCCCAGCACTTGGGAGGCAGAAGCAGGCAGATATCTGAGTTCAAGGCCATCCTGGTCTACAGATGGAGTTAAAGCTATACAGAGAAACCCTGTCTCAGAAAAACAAGCAAAATGAAACAAATCTGGAGTGGAGATGGTGGGGGTGAGACGGCTGGGGAATACACAGGAGAAAGCCTACAGAACTTACTACACCACAAACTATGAAAATTTTTCTAAACACCTCAGAGACTGATTTTGATTTGAAAATTGTTCTTGTTTGTACCCGAAGGAGATTTCATTTTGCTCTTACTTTTGTAGGAGCATGGCAGGAAAACTCTGAGGAGAGCAGCTGCCTTCATTTAGATGTTGTGATAGAGTCTTCAGCTCAAGCTGAATCTAATAAATACATACTAGAAACTCATCCAAATGGAAAAATGCCCCAATTCTTCTTCCTTATGAAGAACAGATCTTTCTAAGAAAGATTAGGAAGAGGTGGGATGAAGAGGAGCCAGGGAACATCTGCACTGAGGAGTCACAGGGGGGAAATTTTCGAACCAAGCGATGGTGCTGCAGTCCCTGTAGTAGTTACTGGCCTGAAATACAAGGAGGAGGCTGGATTCCATGGCAGCAGAGGACGAGCTGGGGCCTCTGGCTGCCGGGGTGAACACATGGAAAGAGGGGAAGGGACGACAGTTCTAGCACCCATGGGTCCGTCCCCTGAAAACAAGGCAAACCGGGCTGTCTGTGTGAAAAGATTTCATTAAATTTGGGTGTTGGGTGTGGGGGAGACATGGAAAGAAAGCATATCACCACACTAATTAGCTTTCCTGGTCACAAGTCAGAGGGAATTGCATACTTAGCTCACCTCCTCCACTCTCAAGATATTGCTTGGACTCTGAAATCACAACAGCTAGAGTCCTGTATTATGGGACATGAAGAGCAAAGGAACCACAGATACACTATCTCTGAGTATATCAACTTTAGAGATGAAATTTGCTTCTACTGGTTATTCATTATGATCTATAAACCAGTGATAACATCCCGTTGAGCCTCAAAATGAATGGACCTTTTTTAAAATTAATTATTTACATCCTGAATGCTGCCCCTTTCCTAGTTACCCCTCCCAGAGTTCTTCATAAATGTAAACAGTGAATTAATTTGGTGGCTATATTTGGTTTTAACCCTATGTTAGTCCCCAGTAACTGAACAGAGAAACCAAGCTTTATTTATTTATTTATTTATTTATTTAATTTAAAACAGGCATTGTGATGACATTTTAAAGGTTTGGAAGTCAGCCAGGTCTAGTGGCTCACACCTTTAATCTCAGGACTTGGGAGACAGCGGCAGACAGTTCTATCTCTGTGAGTTCAAGCCTAAGTTACATGATAAGAATGGAAGAGGTCCAAGAAGAACACAAGAGCTAGGCTATATACTACTCCTGGATACATGATGGATACAGTCACTGACCTCTGTTATCTTCTGAAGGAGAGTAGTTCGTGAAGGTTGAGCTCTGCAAAGCCTCTACAGCCAACACCTGGCAACAGGTGTTCAAAAGACGCGGAATGAAGGACCTGTCCTCCTCCTCACTGCTGAACTGAGATCTCTCTCTCCTTTTCTTGCTGGCTCCTCCTAGCAGAGGCCGATGCTGAGTGCATTTCGTAAAGCATGTCTGTGCATCCATCCCATTAAGCAGTCCGGGAAATGAGAAGGGAACAGCTTCACTTCCTCAGTCTGGGCTTCATAGTTCTTGCTTTCATCATTTCTTCAGGAAGTTACTCAATATGGTTTCTAGGAAACCAGTGGATCCCTACAAGATGGAAATTCATTATTATCGAAGGCTCTGAGACCTGCTGTCCTGGATCAGATGTCTGATTTTGAAAAATGCTGCCTTAGGACAGACAGAATGTCACGTGGCTTTGGCTCACTCTCAAACTTTTTTCTAATATAGCCTGGTTTCCTAGACCTTCCAGTCCTTTCTTGTTTTTGTTTTCATGACTTGCTTTACCTTTTTTGTAATTGTTGTTTCTGGTGTTTCTTCTTTTGTTGTTGTTGTTCTTCTTCTTCTTCTTCTTCAAACAACTGGGAGGCTCAAGTGTTTATTTCACAGTTGTTGCTTTCTAAGTCAGGGTCTCCCTATGTAGCCATGGCTGGCCTTGAACTTGTTTTTCTTTCTTGATACTCAGATCTTCATTGCTGAATGGGGTTAGGTTGCTCCTGGACTAGGATAACACTCCAGGGCTTCTCCAAAAACGTTAGGGAAAGGTATTTTGGGTACCATCGGGTTACATTAGAGCATTTGTAGGCGCTGACTTTTCCTATACTTGGCTCTTCTAATCTTAAACCAATGGTGTACTTCAGATTCTCCCAGATATAGGTGCTTTGCGAGGTTCTTCTCCGTGATCACATTAGGGTACTGAACTTCTTGAAAAACTCTCTCCAGATTGTTCAGCTGCCAGGGTGTGAGACCTCTGCGGATCCGTGGCCGAGTGCGCCGGGGCTGGGGCTGGGGCAGGGGCTGTAGAACTCTGACAAGTAAGTTCTCCCATTCCTCCAACTGTAGCTGTCTCGGACTTTGATGACTCCCTTGGCTCGAGAAGGTGACATCATCACCAAGGTCGTTTAAGTTGACCACGAGGTTCCTATCACCATGTTGGTTCAGGATGCCCTCGAAGCCTAGAGCATGTTCATGGAAAACGCCATTCTCTTCTGCAGCTCTTATATCTTCTTGCTCATCTTCGATTTCCACTTCAATCTCTGGCACCTCCGTGTTGTAGAAATTGGGATTAGAGTTTTGGAAAGAGAGTCTCATGTCTTGAACTCTGCGGAAGTAGCTTTGCCTTCACAAATTTGGACGTGGTCAGCGTAGTCCAACAGTCAGTGTCTGTCTTACTGGGGAGGTTGACAATCCTGGAGTTGCTCAGTGCACCAAGCTGGATTTCTCTAGTTTCAATGTGACGCAGAAGACTGAAAAGAATACCGTTGTGCTAAATTCTGCAGTCTTCCGTCTTTGTTGAAATCGCAAAGAACTTTCAGTGAAGGAGCACTGGCCGACCAGCAGGACAAAGTAACTTGCCAGCGAGATAGAGGGACAACTGGCCGAAAAGCAAAAGCGTCCTTTTATCTGGGTTGGAGTCAAAAGGCTCCGCCCACTTTAGGGAGGGGTCTCACATCAAATGGTCAGTACAGGAAAATCCCTGATACGTGGGCATAGTAGCACACACCTTTAATCCGTGCATTCAGGAGGTAGAGGCAAGGGGATCTCTTTGAGTTCTATGGGGACCAGTATAGTGTACAGAAAGTTCCAGACCAGCCAGAGCTAGTTAGTAAGATGCTGTCTCAGTAGGGGTAGGGGTATGAGGTGGGAAGAAGAAGTAAAGATAAGGGAGGGAGAGAGGGAAGGAGGGAAGGAGGGAGGGAGGGAGGGAGGGAGGGCGGGAGGGAGCGAGGGAGGGGGGAGGCAGGAAGGGTGCTGTGCGTGAAGTTACTCAGGAATTTGTTTTTGTTGATTCCAGATGCAATTAAAAGGACAAGCAAGACCACAGTCACTCTCTTCTTTCTACTCTTATCAAAAGTTTCTAGATGTAAACTCTTTTAAGAACAGATTTACTTAGCAGCTCATTTTTAGACATTCCTGTCTTCACTTCAGAACAAAATAAATATCTAAGTTGAAGTTCTGCCTCAAAATTAAAAACAAGTGGAGAAGACATCAGGTAAACCATAAACAAAAGCTTTACATTTAGAAACAGGATTTATGGCGACATTAATTTGAAGATTCTTTTTTTGTTTGGTTGGGTTTTGGTTTTCTGAAACAGGGTCTTACTACATAGCTTTGGTTGTCCTGGAATTTACAGTACCTACCTTTCTTCTGCCTCTTTAGTGCTGGGATTAAAGGTATACACCACTACCTGACCTTGAAAATTAAGACTTGGTCTTCCTTGAACGTCTGATAGAATTCTGCACTAAAACCACCTGGTCATGGGCCTTTTTTTTTTTTTTTTTTTTGTGGGGAGACTGCTATTTCTTTAAGGGTTATGAGACTATTTAGATGGTTCATTTGCTTCTGATTTAACTTTGGTACCTGGTATCTGTCTAGAAAATTGTCCATTTCATCCAGATTTTCCAATTTTGTTGAGTATAGGCTTTTGTAGTAGGATCTGATGATTTTTTTTTAATTTCCTCAGTTTCTGTTGTTATGTCTCCCTTTTCAGTTCTGATTTTATTAATTTGGATACTGTCTCTGTGCCCTCTGATTAATCTGGCTAAGGGTTTATCTATCTTGTTGATTTTCTCAAAGAACCAGCTCCTGGTTTTGTTGATACTTTGTATAGTTCTTTTTGTTTCTACTTGGTTGATTTCAGCTCCGAGTTTGATTATTTCTTGCTTTCCACTCCTCTTGGGTGTACTTGCTTCTTTTTGTTCTAGAGCTTTCAGATGTGCTGTCAAGTTGCTCTCTCCAGTTTCTTTTTGTAGACACTTAAAGCTATGAGTTTACCCCGCAGCATTGCTTTCATTGTAAGTTTTGGTATGAGGAGCCTTCATTTTCATTACATTCTAAAAAGTCTTTAATTTCATTCTTTATTTCTTTGTTGACCAAGTTATCATTGAGTAGAGTGTTGTTCAGTTTCCACGTGTATATGGGCTTTCCAGTGTTTTTGTTATTATTGAAGACCAGCCTTAGTCCATGGTGATCTGATAGGATGCAAGAGATTATTTCAATAGTTTTGTATCTGTTGAGGTCTGCTTTGTAACCAATTATATGTTCTATTTTTGAGAAGGTATCATGAGGTGCTGAGAAAAAGGTATATTCTTTTGTTTTAGGGTGAAATGTTTTATAGATATTTGTTAAGTCCATTTAGTTCATAACTTCTGTTAGTTTCACTGTATCTCTGTTTCATTTCTGTTTCCATGATCTGTCCATTGCTGAGAGTGGGGTGTTGACATTCCTCACTATTATTGTGTGAGGTGTAATGTGTGTTTTGAGCTTTAGTAAAGTTTCTTTTATGTATGTAGGTGCCCTTGCATTTGGAACATAGATGTTCAGAATTGAGAGTTCGTCTTGGTAGATTTTTCCTTTGAAAGTATGAAGTGTCCTTCCTTATATTTTTTGATAACTTTTGGTTGAAAGTCGATTTTGTTCGATATTAGATCCTTGGCACCCAGAGAAAATGGTGGTACTGTGGTTAGTGTCAGATAAGGCCTGTGCTGGGGACCAGACATAGGCAGATCCAGGAACCTCTCTGGCCAGCCTAGCTAACCAAAATAGGAGCTTAAGGTTTGACATAGCATTACCTGACGACCCAGCAATACCACTCCTGGGCATATACCCAGAAGATGCTCCAATATATAACAAGGACACATGCTCCACTATGTTCATAGCAGCCTTATTTATAATAGCCAGAAGCTCGAAAGAACCCAGATGTCCTTCAACAGAGGAATGGATACAGAAAATGTGGTACATTTTTAAAATGGAGTACTACTCAGCTATTAAAAACAATGAATTTGAGAAATTCTTAGGTGAATGGATGGAACTAGAAAATATCATCCTGAGTGAGGTAACCCAATCATAAAAGAACATACATGGTATGCACTCACTGATAATTGGATATTAGCCTAAAAGCTCAAAATACCCAAGATACAACTCACAGACCCCATGAAGCTCATGAACAAAGAATACCAAAGTGTGGGCGCCTTGGTCTTTCTTAGAAGGAGTATCAAAATACTCATGGGAGCAAATATGGAGACAAAGTGTCGGTCAGAAACTGAAGAAAGGGCTGTCTGGAAACTGTTTCACCTGGGTATCCATCCCATGTGCAGTCACCAAAGGTAAAAGCTGATGTGATGCCAGGAAGTGCATGCTGACAGGACCTGATATAGCTGTCTCCTTAGAGGTTTGCCAGAGCCTGACCTATACAGATGTTCACAGCTAATCATTGAAATGTTCATGGGGTTCCCAATGGAGGAGTTAGAGAGAAGACTGAAGGAGCTAAAAGGGTTTGAAGCCCCTTGGGAAGAGCAACAATACCAACCAACCAGAGCTCCCAGGGACTAAACCACCAGCCTAGGAGCACATAGGGAAGGATCCATGGCTCCACCTGTATATGTAGGGGAGGATGGCCTTGTCAGACATAGGTGGTAGAGGAGGTCCTTGGTCCCATGAAGGCTGGATACCGTGTGGAGGAATTTGAGGGTGGGGAGGTAGGAATGGGTGGGTGGGGGCACATTCTCATAGAAGCAGGAGGAAGGGGGATAGGATAGGGGGTTCCTGGGTGGGGGGGAAATGGGGTAAGGGGATAACATCTGAAATGTAAATAAAATATCTAATTAAAAAATATTTATATATATGAACTGAGACACACTGCTTCCAGCCAGGAATAAAAAGCTTGCTATCACATCTAATTGCCTTGAACTTCTGATGATCCTCCTTTTTCGGCAGACTCAATGTTGGAATTAAAGTGTGAGCCCAGAGCTGTAAGCTTTTTGAGCATGATTTTGTCTTTGGCAATGTGTTTATGGCAGAGTCATGAACACTTGGCCCATTCAAGTCACTCTGAAGAGAGGAAATGGATGGGATGTAGACCCATGCTCACTCCATGTGGTTACCTGGGCAATGATATCTCCATTCTCGGCATGAACTTGAGCGATGGCCCCCAGCTCTCCCAGGCAGGTGAAGATCTCATAGAGCTAGAACAGAAATGAACAGTATCACAGCCACCTTTAGCAGTGTGACATAAAGGGCAGTTACCAAAACCAGGACTGAAACTGTCTTACAACAGAGATAAAGGTAGTCCAAAGACATTTTAGGAGGCTTTGTCTCCATTTATCAGGACTTATATACAATCCGGACCATTTTTAAAAAATTTTTTATTTTACTATTTTTTTTTATTTTTAAATCTAATCATAATTTTTACTAATTCACACAGGGGTTATAAACACAGAAAGGCAGGATGTGGAGAAGGGGATGACACCGGAGCGAGGGTGTTCAAGGGGGGTACAGATATCTTTCGGAAGGGTATCGGCTGAGTGAAGGTTCAGGGGACAGGTCACTATGACTCTGCCTATGATTTACTTGCTGGACCAATTTCTAAGAAGCCTTCTCTTGGACATCCAGATCTAATGGAGTAATTTTCCATTGAGGTTAGACATGGTATCAGAATTCTTTTCAACAAGTGCTCCAAAAGCCCCCAAGAGTCTGATCAAAGCTAATGCACATATTCAAACTCTTACTCTGAGCTTTTCAAGACAAAATTACCCATACTCTCCACCAAGAAGTTAAGAGTACTAATTTTTTGCATTTCTCATGATTGCTTCAGATCTATCAAAACTCATGCACATCCATGATTTTCTAGGAAAAGGTGAACTAATACAAATATGACAGCCAAGCCAGTACAACTAGCAGGAAGCCCCACCTGATTCTATAAAGCAGAGAACTCCACATTTTCATCAGGTTTATAAGAGGTTTGGAGACAACAGCTTTCTTTTTCTTATTCTTTAAGACAACTGTTGGCAGCAGAAAGTCAAGAACTTCTCTGCTTCGCCATAGGCACCCAAACCATAACCTTCTTTAAAGTGTAGTATGGATTGCAAGGACGTCAATAAAATACCCTGGCATAGTGGCCTCCCACAGTAACCACGGTGACTCATGTCCCAATGGCAAGATCATCAGCAACAATTGGAAACCCATGCAGACCACACATGGGTTTAGATCCACACACCCAAATGGGTTGTTACCTCTGTGTTGGACACTTGATATAAATCCTTGTAGGCCATGTAAACCATGAAGGAGTTAACACCTGCCAGACAAGAAAAGGGAAAAAAGTCAAGAAAAAGACATTACTAATTACCACCACCACCTTCTCATGTCTATCACACATTGCTCAGGTGGCTGTCCAATAGTAGTAAAGACGTCTGGAATGTTTTTTATCTTATCATGCCCTTTCTTGTCCTGTAAAATCAATAGTTTGTAAGTAGTATCTTGGCAGAATGGTGTCTCCCTTCTGCATCTTTTGCTAACCCCAATCGCCAGCATTGCAGAGCTTAGAAGATCAATAATTGATATTGTTTGAAGAAGCAGATACCAGAGAGGTTGCAGTAACATACCATCTGTCCACAGACCCTAGGGGTTGTAGCACCTGAATGTACCACTACACCACAATCACCTGGGAATGCTTACCTTCTGGGCTTCTGTTTCCTCCACCTGTAAACTGGAAAATAACTCCCACCTCATAAGGAAGTAGTTCATCATTAAAGGAGCCAATGCTTTAAAGGCTTTTAGTCCCTGTGAGGCAAGCATTTTGTCTCCATGAAGTGGATTTATTTCACTATCAGGTGAATGACTACTGTATACTAAGCTGCAGGCAGATGTGCCTAAGAGGAGAAAGAGGACAATAAAACTAACCTTAAGAACTACTTCTGGGCAAGGCCTGGTGATGGGACAAACTTCTAATCCTATTATTGGGGAGGATGAGGCAGGAAGATTGCTATGAATTTTCCTTTCTATCCCTTGGTGCACCCCTTGAGTTTTGCCAGTAGGCTGGGCCATGTAAGTATCTGGCCACCCAGTAAGGCTTTGTATCAAAATAAAATAAAAGCCAAATCTCTAAAAGTTCTGTATCCTCCCTAAAAATCTGTTTCTAAGTTGGAGAAGGTATGTATTTACATGATGTATTATTTTCTGTTAAGGAACCTATACTTTTGAATATACACATGCACAGCACATGTACACATGTATTCACACGTACATAACACACATGCACATTTTTTCTAAGTATACTATTTTCCCTTCATTCTCTACAATTTGTTTAAAGAATAAACCAGGTGGTGGTGGCATATGACTTTAACCCCACCACTCAGAAGGCAGAGGCAGGCAACAATCTGTAAGTCCAAGGTCAGCCTGGTCTACAGAGCAAGATCCCAGACACCCAAGGCTACACAGAGAAACCCTATCTCAGAAAGAAAAAAAAAATCTAGTTTTTAATCTAAAAACACCATGCCTTTTATAATAAAGGGGTGCAGACTATATAGTCAGTGTGGTGGTTTAGATAGGAATGCCTCCCATAGGCTCAATTATTTGAATGGTCATTAGGGAATGACAATACTTGACAGGGGTTAAGGTGTAGTAGCCTTGTTGGGTTTAGTATGGCCTGTTGAAGGAAATTGTCACTGAGGGTGGGGTTTGGAGCTTCAAATTCAATATTCAGTGTCTTTCTCTCTTCCTGATATCCAAACGTCTCTCATCTACCTCTCCAGCCTCATGTTTGTCTGTGTGGTGCCATGTTTCCCAGCATAATGATAAAAGAGTAAACCTGGGAAACCGTAAGCTAGACTCAATGAAATGCTTCATTTTTATAAGAGTTGCTGTGGTCATGGTGTCTTCACAGCAAAAGACCATTGACTAAGACACTCAGTTTGAAGAATGACTCTTTCACACAACACTATCTAATTTTCAAATGTAGAAACAAAAATTAGATATAAAACTTGGCTTTAGTGAATTAACAGGGTGGACAGAGCAATTTGTGCCTTGAATCTGTACTATGTACTTTCATATCTAAGTCATCAGCATTATAGGAAAAGATCTATTTTATTTTCACCCAAAATAAATAAGTAGGTGGGATGGTGGAACAGAAAACATTTTGAGGAAAGGAAAATAATTTTGGTTTGACCATTAGGGTTAGCTTAGCCCACAATCTCCCCAGCCAAAAAGTGGATTATAGTTCAAGAATGTCCCTACTCAGCGTAGGTCAGCTCAGGGCAGTTTTCCAAAGTATTCCCACTTCCAAAAGCCTCCAAGTCATCCTTAGAATGACCCATGTTCTGTGTTTTCCTTGAAGCCACTGAATTTTCTACTGCAGTTAAGATGCTCTGTGTGACAGGCAGCAGAGAAAGAGGGTGGGGCTAATTGCTTGTTTTGTGTTCTCAAGGATTGGGCAGGACTTATAGGGTGCAGCAAGGGCTAGAAAGGAAAAGGCATCCTCTGAGGGAACATCTGCTCCCCTCCAGTACAGACACATGATGTTTCCCTGAAGTTTTTGCACAGTGGCCAGACAGGTCTTGTGCTTTGAAGCATCTAGTCTGCTGCCTTTCCTTCAACTGCTTTCCTTTACACTGGACCTTCAGCAGAGACTGTTTATCCACCTCTGACGTCCTTGGTTGCCTTACAAAGTTGAGCACAGAGCACACATTTGTATAAGTATGTGTGTTTCTGTGAGTGTACAGTGGCTAATGACCAGAACATAAGAAGAGACCAGAAGAATCTAAGATGATAATGGAATCAAAAATCATCATTGCAATGAGAAGGCCCCTCTAACAAATACACACACACACACACACACACACACACACACACACACACTGCATTTTTTTTCCATTATTAACTGTAGAATCAATCTATCCTTGCTGCTGGCATGTCCTAGATTTTCTTAAGGATGTGTCACTATTATATAATATTAACATTTTGGTCTTATAAAACTGATCGAGGTTAGAAAACTTTGTTCTCAGCTTGCAAGGAATGTGGCCTCAGGGAGGATTAGTCACCTTGCCTCAGTTTCTTCCTTTGTACAAGTGGTATTGATGCATCGTGCTGGTTTGTTTATGTCAGCTTGATTCATGCTAGAGTCATTTTGGAAGAGGGAACCCCAACAGAGAAAATGTTTCTACCTGTGGGCAAGCCTGTACTACATTCTCTTGATTGATGGCTGATGTGGGAAGATCTAGCTCACTGTGGATGAAAAGCCATCCATGGATGGTAGTCCTAGGTGTTATAAGAGGCAGACTGAGCAAGCCATGAGGAGCAAGCCAGTAAGAGATGCTTCTTCAAGCTCTGTACTTCAGTTCTGATCTCCAGGTTGCTGTCCTGCTTGAGTTCATATCCTGACTCCCTTCAGTGATGGGCTACCAGCTATAAGATGAAATAAACCCTTTCCTCCTTGAGTTGCTTTTGTCATGGTGTTTAATCGCAGCATTAAAAATCTAGGATACCCATGAAAGTGAAAAGCATCATCTTTGTGTAGATCTACTGCATATAAAATGTCATCCTAGACAGTTATCTTGATACCCTGATTTTTGAGCTCCAAAGTAACTAATAATATTTATCCCATGAAGATCCTACAAAAAGTAAAGTTGCAAAAAAATATAAAGTGCCTGGAACAAAGCCCGCCATACAGCTCTCATGCTTAAGGTACCAGATTCTAAACTAGAGGAGTGGGATGCTACGGGAGACACAGACAAGGCAGTAAACACACAAGACTTTAGTGCTTGCTTTACTCACCTTTTTCCTTGCTGAGGTTCTGCACCTCCTGCTTGACGCTGTCATTCCAGTGGGTGATGTCCACGTGCAAAGCATAGTCACAGCAGCTCTTCCCATCCGCCCACTCACGCCACTTTTCATAGGCCTCTGTCAGGCTAGACTCAGGTTCAGGTACCACGTGGTCAACTGAAAGACAGAAGGCAAAATGGGTGACTCAGAAACAGCTTGGTCTCCCCACCCCTATTCCTGTTCCTTCCTGCTTAGCTAACTCCAAGACTTGGAACAAATTACCAGCTTTCTGAAACCTCAATTTTCTCTTCTTAAACATGAGTATTAAGTAGATGGGGGATATGTTATGATAGTATTTTCCATCTGAGTTTGCCATATGACTAAGTGAAAAATGCATATATAAGGTGTTTCACTGATACCTGGTGAATACTAAATTTTCAGTAAGTCTTAACTCCTTGTGACTACCTGCTATTTTTATGTTGTGACTCCTGGCTCTGAGACACTATTAATGGCCAAAGTTGTGTTCTCTTCCCTGGATAGAAGAATATCCAGGGAATATATCTAGATGTATAGCAGGCAAGCCCACGAATTTGCTAACAAGAATCAATTTCTCTGAATTTAAACCCAATTTTCTTTGCAACCATCGGTGATAAATATTTTTACATAATTGTGGGTACATCAGAGTCTGTTTGAGTCACCTGCTAGGTAGAGCCTTTCAGAGGACAGTCATGTTAGCCTCCTGTCTGAGTTATACCAGAATATCATTAATAGTGTCAGAGATTGGTGCTTGCCCATGGGGTGGATCTTAAGTTGGACTGGCTATTGGTTGGCCTTTCCCTCAGTCTCAGCTCCATCCCCAGTCCCTACATTTCTTGTACACAGGATAAATTTGAGGTCTAGAGTTTGGTGGGTGGGTTGGTGTCCCTATCACTTCATTGGAAGGATTGTGAGAAGGGGTGACCAGGAGGGGCAGTGAGCAGGGTGTAAAGTGAATAAGTAAAAAAAAAAATAGCTAAAATAGTAATCGAGGCATGGTGGTAATCCCAACACTGGGGAGGCCACTGGAAGCTCAAAACCAGCCTAGCCTACATAGCAAGATCCTATCTTAAAATGAAACAAACAAAACACTACACCTAAATTAAGATAAATGATACTAAATAAAATTTTATTTGTATGTTTAAAAAATAATGGTTGCTATAGTAGGGATTAGGCAAAAGCTCCACTCTCATCCATGCCCCATTGGGTTGCTGAGGTAAAGTGTGAAATTGATTCATCTTTCGGGAGAAGGATATTAAGATATGTATCAAAAATCTGGACATTTCCCTGACCAGACTGTATTTATTTTCATGCCTGAGCCTCGTACCTAGGAAAATATGTTGTAGCTGTCAGCAGCATTTAGTATCTAGAAAGTACATTGATGCATTTATGTAAATGCAAAACCGGAAGTGACCAAAATTGAAAAAAAATTGAGAAGTTTAGTTAAAAACATAGAAATACTTTCACAGAATGATGAGACATCTATTTTAAAAGCTGTGGTAGTTTGTGAGTAACTGACTGACTGGAGCAACATTCATGATCCACCACTCAGTGAAAAAAATCACTGCTTTAAATATGAACCAGATACTAGGATCCTACTGTGAAACTGGAAACTGCCTAGTAACAACCTCTAACAGTGAAAGAGGGTTATGTGGATCCTTTGATTTGCGCACATCTGGCATTTCTAAGTTATCAATGAAGGGCAAGAATGCATCTGTGGCTCCTTGTAAGTTTTCTTCTTCACTTAAACCTCTCATCTGTTCTCTGCTCCTTTGTTAATGTAGAAGACAAGTCCAAGAGATTTTACAAGCATGCAGAACAGGCCCAATTTCTGGTCCAGATGGCAGCCAGCCAAACCAAAGTGAGACCATGCATTTCCTTTGTCAACAGAGCCCATGTGCACTGATTGGAAAATATAATGCATCCAACTACATTACTAATGTCTTCAAGGACACTAGGGCTTTCCTGGGCAGACAGCTGCTGAGAAATCAGCTGGCTTCCTCCTATCAGCTGGGCGGAAAGGCCCAGGCCTCCTTGGACTACACCTTTTATGGCCTTGCTAAAGTTGAACCCTCCTAGTGGTTCAGTCAAAAGCAAGGTCAAGACAGACTATAATTCTGGCTCAGGCTGCTCTGTTCCTGTGGGTGGAGGAATAGGCTGTTAAGTAAATTGTGCTATGTCTCTGAGTTTGAGGCTAGCTCTGGGCCAGTACCCAATTCATTGAGATTCCTTGGAACAGGAAGAACTGCCTGAAATACTATCAGTTCTGTACTCCAATAACATGCAATTTCCCAAGTCGCATGGAATTAGTAGTTACCAGAAGCAAAACAAAAGAAGAATAAAGGAAACCACTCACAGCTTTTCTAATCTTAAAGATACAAATTGGTCAAAATATAGCAAAGACCCAAAAGCAGTGAATCCACTGAAGCCCACTAATCTCCCAAGAACTGTCTGTCTCAATGATCATTCTTTTGGACTTATCTGTTTCTTGGTTGCTTTCAGCTCATGGACCTTTGAGTAATTACAGGAAGTTGGCAGTTGTCCTGTTTTTCCCACACCCAGAAACATAGATTCCATGAACCAAATTGAGAGAAGTGTGTCTCAGTTTTTCAGGTTTCAGTATTTTCAGAGGACAAGTATTTGACACCTTTGTTAAACACACAGGGCTGGACAGCAGGTGAGGACTTACTGATCATGGTGGTGCCTCCCGCTAAGGCAGCCTTTGTCCCTTGGAAGAAATCGTCCACTGTGGTCATTCCCTTGTAAGGCATCTGAAAGTGGGTATGGACATCAATGCCTCCAGGGATCACCATCTTCCCATTGGCCTCGATGGTCTTCACACCTCCTGGGACAATCAGATTGTCTCCAATTTGCCTGGTGAGACACAGTGGAACAATTGGAAATTAAATGGAGCAACACTCGAGACAAACATAGGATGTAAGGATTTTAGACATTGGGGTCTTCAAAGTCACAAGCCCTTCAGCCTCTAAACAAAGACAGATAGCTGTGTATACAAAACTATTGACACCCAATCATCTGCATGGAATAATGTGTTATGGTTTGTACTGAAATCTGTAGATTGTCAATGTCTAGAACACAGTGCATGACTAATATTTTTATATAACTATTTTCACTATTTCCTTCACTTTATTTTTTTTTCTCTCTCATGTTGTGGGATGACACTGGGGAAAGCTACAAGGAGCGTGAAATAAATGACTGTGAGGCACAACAGAAGTTAATGGCTTGGTACAACAACAGGTACAGGTACTATGTCATTTTCCAAGCAGGTTCTCTGTGCCCTAATCAAAGGCATCTGCTTGAGTCACCACCCAGCTCATGTTTCTTTTTCTTATTCCACCATTCCCTGATCAGCTAATGGTACCTTGTTGCAGATGTGAAAGAACAAAGTCAAACATGCAGCTCTCTCCCACACCCACTGCTCTTGTATGGTCAGTATTTCAATAGTGGCTTCAGACAAAGAAGGATGATTATGGAGACCCAGAAAGGTTCAGAGAATCCCAGGAAAGAGTGGGAGAAGAAGCTGGTTGAGCAATCAAAGGTTCATCTCACAAGAATGTGGTAACTATTCCCTACAAGTCTGTTTGAAGGTCACTGGTTGCAATATTGCTAGATTTTTTTAAATTTTATTTTATTTTTTATTTTATTTTTTTAGCTTTGATTTAGGCATCTGGCCAAGCCTGTCCCCCAATATACCTAAGATTCACAGTTTATACTAACAGTAAATATCTCCTACCTTGGATACATATGTGCCCCACTATTTGTGGCGTGAATATTTTCCCTTCTGTACATAGCCCCAAAAATTCTCTTGGGGTAGTAAAAATGTCCACCGCTGACCAGCAAACTGTAGGTTCACAGCTAATGTGTTCCTGACATGTCTAAGAGTTTAGCTTCACCGCATCACCATGGGGCCATTCCAGGGCCACCACAATTCAAAACACACTGTCAGGGAAAAAAAATGCAGCCTCTGACTGTAATTCTACTTTAGTCCAGCTACTGCCCAGTCCTGTTCCTGTTTTTCTTAGTTTTTCTCCAGGAGAAATTGAGAACCAAGAGGATGAAGAACTGATGGACCCATGTGGTGTGTGCTTATATACATTTATATACATTTTCCACTCATTTTTATAACTCGTGTAATATCCTATCTGAAGCAGATGTGCCTCATCTACTTTCCCCCAACACACTAAGTAAGACTACAGTGATCTCTAACATCTCAGCTTCTGTCTCCTCATGTGATCATTTTTCTGTTGGCAGCCATGACTAACCTATGTAGATGTGCTCCAAACAGAGGCTACCAGGATTCATGGTCTTGGCTCTGTCAGTTACCAACCATGGCCAACTATTATTTAATCTCACTATGCCACAATTCTATAGGTTGTAAAATGTAATAATTCCTCAGTAGAGTTGTGTAGATTAAAAGTTAATCCCTGGTAAGCCCACAAAATACTACGAAGCATATTAGGGATCCATGAACATCAGCTGTTGTAATTATCGATTGCTCCCTCTAAATTTCATCTAGCCTGTTATTCGGTTCTTGGTATTGATATTACCTGATAATACTGGATCCTCTGGTCTTTTAAAAGACTATAAGGTCCCAAGGACTGAGGAATGTTGACTCGAGTGTGCAATGCCCACTGTAAAATGTGACATAGCAAGTGTCCACCACTTTACACAAATGCTTTCCCATTAGCTTGTAGCCCTACTGACAGGATGAATTGGGTACTTTAGACATATATGACCTCTTATTAATATGATGGTGTAGCTTGCTGTTCATGACATACTACCATGTTGATTAAATCCTGTTTTGAAATTCACTATTTAAAAAACTAATACATAAACATTAACTGCCTGTGCTTCTTCAGTAGCAAGTTATTTCACCAGGAATTTGTAGATTCCTGATAAATGTATTTGAAAAATAGGTCCAAAATATATACCCTATTTGGATCTGCTCTTTTAAGCCTTACCATTTTGTCAAGTTCATTTTAAAGTATTTTCTCTAATGTAAAGCCTCATAGATTAAAAAAAAAAGTCTGTGCATACCCTGATTTCAACTTAGAACCTATTCCATATGCCTTGATATTTTCAGGATGCTATCACTCATGCACAAGTTTCAACACCTGGAAGGATAGGGGTCACATCATTCAATAGTCTATGACCCATGGCATTCCCTTTAGTACAACTAGAATACATCCTCAGAATTTATCCTTTTGACCAAACTGAGAGTTTTACTTTATAAAACTGAAACCTCTCACTCAGCAGAAAGAAAGTAGAAAAGAAGTAGAAGGTTTCATGTACATACTTTATTAAGCCATCCTCCATGTAAATATCAGCATAAAAGGACTGATCATCGTTGACGATTCTCCCTCCCTTGATTAGAAGACGGTCACTCTGGAAAAGAAGGAAGATATGAGTCACTATCACAGTACCTCAGGGAAGGGAATGTTCACCCTTTGAGACATCTAGCAAGAACACACTTGGTAAGTGACTTCTGTGTGCTCAGTGCACTTCGAATTTGAATGTGCTGTATTTGTTGGGGATACAGTTGTAATTCAAGCTAATCCAGTGTTTCACTTCCTGTAACTGCAAGCTGTCATTGTCATAGGCCTGTAGGAATATTTATATTACCTATATTGTCTTAATGAAACACTCAGTTCATGTTACATCACAATTTTGATAGCTGATGAAGTTGTAAAGTACAAGAGAACCATTGTTGGAAAAAAGACCAAAAAAATTACTGTACTTATTTAACATGGCAAATGGGAGAAAGTATGGTTTAGATTTGCTTCATTATACTCAGTATCTCTCAAGCCTCTTTTCTTTTTTGATATCTAGGATATGTAGTATTGAGTTTCATAAGAACGTTTTCATATATCTACATGATACACTTTGACTATGAATGAATACACATTTTTATTGCTTTAATCATGAGAAAAATAAACTCTTTTTTATGGAAAAACTGCAACTTAGATGAAATTTAAGAGTTATCCAACGTGGAACAATGAAAATATGCTCTATAGTTGGTCACAAAATACATATGTATGTTCTGTATGTCAGAGGAACATAAATTAGTGTCAGTACTGTAGATCACAGACTGCGCTGAATGAACGGAGATGAGTACAAGGTTATGAGCTGTGCCTGTGTTGAGCCATGGACTAGAAAAATATTCCCAGAAGACTAGCTGAACAGAGCTATGGCATGGATAAAGATGATCATTTGATTAGATTTGATGAAGAATTCAACTTACAGACCTACATTTTACATCATCCGTTCATTCATCATCTGTCCATCCATTCATCATCTGTCCATCCATCCATCCATCCATCCATCCATCTCTCTGTCCATCCAGCCATCTGGGCACTGGCCCCACACCGATTATTTACTGTTACATAGATGGGGAACATGGAGTTGTATAAGAGACTCAGGAGGTCACTGCCTTCATGGAGCATAAAGGGGGTGTTTAGTAATAAAGAGCTGATATAAACCAATGTAGCATTGGATTCAGTGTCACAGGACACAGGGAAGTGGGATTAGTTCAGATACAAACTATGAAGGACCTAGTAAGGGGAAAGAAATCTACATGAGATGGCAGTGTAGAATTTTTCAGAAGGGATAGCATGTATTAAGGCCTCACGGTAGAGGAAATACTTGTTTCTTAGAAAAGCTGAGGAAAGTCAATCTGCAAAAGCTTTGTCTTTGAGGATGTGAGTGGAAGGACATAAGGTTAGGAGGGCAGGGTGGCTCTTCACACTGGAATTGTTAAGTGTTTAAGTTTGAATGAAAATACACTGAGACACATGGGATAGTTACAAGCAAAAGAATGAGGATAATGTGGAAAATGCAGTTTTACATCTCAGTGTTCAAAGATGATATGGATATCCACTACACAGAACTTAGGGTATAGACAAGGCTCAAGGTCAAAACCATTTAACTCTACTCTTACTTTAATGTTTCTTCCCTGTCCCCTCTTGGAGAACACAGCTTTTAAATAGGAGATAGGTTCAGAGAAGAAAGCAGTTGATGGATGACTTCAAGATTCAGGAATGTAAGTTGTGATCAAGGCTAGAAAATGGGAGATGACTCTTGGGTCCCATGTGGGATACAGAAAATTTCTTCTTAATTTCTGCTTCTGGGTGTTGCATGAGCATAAGATGTTTCATCATGCCTTATCACCAGGGGAGCAGATTTTACAAACACACAGATTAATTATTTAGAAAAATTCTACATGTGCAGCAAAGAAGCAACATGGAGGTAAAAAAGGAGGCCCCACCACATATGATCTATACACCTCTGTTGTTCTGAGTTCTGTCAACATGTCTGCCCTCCTTCTGATCCTACATTGCCCAATATTTAGCTTAGTGCTAAGAATATAAAGATGGGATTTGCATTATATAGCGAACTCCATGGCCCTTGCAAATATGTCCTCAGTGCCTTATTCCAAGTTCATCTGGCATCTAATGACGATCTTTGTCACATTGATAGCCTAAATAATGCCTGACTCTAGAGAAAATTTTACCAGCTTCTACTTCAATTAATTCTGCACAATTCTCCAGAGGCTGATTTACTATTTCCTGTCCACGTTGAGAACATGTGTTTTTTGATCTTTCAGTCTTCATTCTCCAGAAATATTATAAGTTCATCAAATGAATGAAAGAAGGCTGAGACATGGACAATGATTCTATTTTGCCAATGTAGATAGAATGAGGTAGAAAGGCATCTACCACACAAATTATTTGACTTGACTGTACTGTTTGACTTTAAAGAAAGAAAACGTGAGCCAGGGGTGGTAGTGCTTTTAATTCTAGTGCCAGGGAACAAGAGGCAGGTGGATCTCTGTGAACTCAAGACCATCATGTTGGGAGCCACCTCCTAGCCAAAAGTGGCTATCATCTTTGCATCCATCTTGAGCCATATACCCTGACAAGAGGCTTGTTTTCAACAGCCTGCAATAGCTGAGCGCACTCTGATAAACATCTTGTTACACTGTTTAGTGCCCCCAGCTGCAAGGTGCCCCTGGTATCCATGGCTACAAGGCACGTGACGTAGTGGCTTCAGTTGAGCTTGTCCACGAGGGCAAGTCACGTGGTAAAGGGTATAAATACCCAGGATTTCCTTTCTATGTGAGTGAGGAGAATATAGCATAAGTGTGAGGAGAATATAGAGGAGAATATAGGATTTCCTTTCTTTAAGAGTGAGGAGAATATAGAGGAAGAGAGGGGAATAAAGAAGAGACTTGAAGAGACTCTGTCTTGTGTCTATCTTTTGCGTCTCTCGCCCCTTTTCCGCCCTTCCTCCGTCTCCACTCTCTCTCTTGCTAGACCCTGACATGTAGACCTGAGCAGCAGAACGAGCAGGCCTTTACAAAGTAGCAGAACTGGCCATTACAAAAGAAACGGCCATTACACCATTCCAGCTTCTACATAGCAGCTTCCAGGTCAACCAGAGAGATATAGTAAGATTGTCTCAAAATAAATAAAAGAATTTAAAAATTTTTTTATTGGATATTTTATTTACATTTCATATGTTGTCCCCTTACCCCATTCCCCACCCACCTGGGAACCCCCTATCCCCTTACCCCTCCTCCTTCTTCTCTGTGGATGTAACCCCTACCTACCCCCCAACCCCCACTTTCCCACCCTCAAAATTCCCACCCCCTGGGGCATCCAGGCTTCATGAGGTCAAGGATCTCATCTTCCACCTATGCCCAGCAGGGCCCTCAGCTCTAAAGTATACAGCTGAAGCCCTGGATCCCTCCCTAAGTGCTCCCAGGCTGGTGGTTTAGACCCTGGGAGCTGTGGTTGGTTGGCATTGTTGCTCTCCTCATGGTGCCACAAACCCTTTCAGCTCCTTCAGTCCTCAATCTGACTCCTCCATTGAGAACCCCATGATCAGTTCAATGGCTAGTTGTGAGCATCTGCCTCTGAATATGTCAGACTCCTGAAGGCCTCTGAGGAGACATCCATATCAGGTTCTTATCAGCATGCACTTCCTGACTTCCACATCAGCATCTACCTTTGGTGACTGCACATGGGATGGATACGCATGTGAAAGGTCTTCAAATGGCCCCTCCTTCAATTTCTGTCCCTCACTTTGTCTCCATATTTGCTCCCTTCAGTATTTTGTTGCTCCTTCTAAGAACTGAATCACCCCCACTCGGTCTTCCTTCTTTATGAGCTTCATGTGGCCTGTGAGTTGCATCTTGGGCATTTCAAGGTTCTGGGCTAATATCCGATAATCAGTGAGTGAATACCATGTGTGTTCTTTTGTGATTGGCTTACTTCACTCAGGATGATGATTTCTAGTTCCATCCATTTACCTAGGAAACTCTCGAATTCATTGTTTTTAATAGCTGAGTAATACTCCATTGTGTAAATATACCACATTTTTTGAATCCATTCCTCAGTTGAAGGACATCTGGGATCTTTCCAGCTCCTGGCTATTATAAATAAGGCTGCTATGAACATAGTTGAGCATATGTCCTTGTTATATGTTCGAGCATCTTCTGGGTATATGCCTAGGAGTGGTATAGCTGGATCCTCAGGTAATGCTATGTCCAGTTTTCTGAGGAACCCCCACACTGATTTCCAAAGTGGCTGCACCATCTTGCAGTCCCACCAACAATGGAGGAGTGTTCCTCTTTCTCCACACCCTCACCAGCATCTACTATCACCTGAGTTTTTAATCTTAGCCATTCTGACTGGTGTGAGATGGAATCTCAGGGTTGTTTTGATTTGCATTTCCCTGATGACTAAGGACACTGAACATTTCTTTAGGTGCTTCTCGGCCATTCGAGTTTCTTCCGTTGAAAATTCTTTGTTAAGCTCTATACCCCATTTTTTAATAGGGTAATTTGGTTGTCTGGAGTCTAATTTCTTGAGTTCTTTGTATATATTGGATATTAGCCCTCTATCAGATGTAGGATTGGTAAAGATCTTTTCCCAATTTGTTGGTTGTCGTTTTGTCCTCTTGACAGTGTCCTTTGCCTTACAGAAACTTTGCAGTTTTATGATACTACATAATTATAAGAAGGTTCTAGGTCTATGCTTCAAACTATTGTATACATGAGCAAATTATCCATGCTCGGTCTCTGCTCTTACCTACAAATCTGTATTTTATAAGTTCTACACATGACTCTAACATAGCCACCAGTTAGCCTGAAGCCAAGACAAAGAGCATAACAGAGGGGGTTAAAAAAAAAGCCCAAATCTGTATGTCAATGAGGGCAATATTTCCTGTAGCAGCTGCCTGAAGAAGTAATCATCATGGTTAACTACACAAGTTCATCCCGATATGGTGAGCCAGTTTTTGGAAAGGAGCCACATTCTACCTGAACTAAATTATGAAAAGGAATAACCAAAGATTCTAAGTCCTGAACCTTTTTTCTGGACGAG